GGAGTGTCGAATTACCGCTACCAACTTTGTATATCTGGGCATTACATTTTGCGTGACAGTCTGAATACATAAAGCATGCACAGTACCTTTTACAACAATGGTTATGGACATTTTGCGAACCCTATGTCTTTACAAACTATGATTTGGTTGTTTGCTGAGACCATTTAAGAACAAAGTAGTAGTTCCTCTCTGCTCTGCTTGCTGTGCTTGTGCAACAGACTCTGGTCCTTGCTGAGTCACACTTCACTGTTATGACAGTTTGATACAGACCGTAATGGCGCAGAGATGTCTGCCACTGACTCTTGAAAAGGTTAACTGCTCCATATAACATGACAAATCCACTAGTGTAACCAAGTGCCTTCCTCTTTTTTAGGCAATCACTAAATGCTCCAAGTCAATTTAGTAAACAGGCCTTAATGACAAACTCACACACACCCCTGTCCTTTGGCTATGACAAGAATATGAGACTGTTCCCTGGTAGTCACTCAGTATAAAAAATAAATCAAGGGGAGAGGGGAGAAAGGGTCTGAAAAGTACCACTTAAACAATTATTACCTCCTTGTTCCGCTGAGGCTTCTACTTAATATTTGATGACTCTGGCCCTTTGCCTCCTCCTCCTCCACCTTCTTGTCCTCCTTCTCTCCTGTCTTTATTTTTGCTGTTCCGGTCAATAAAAAGGTCAGCCTCCCTCAGTTGATCTCTGTTATTTAGTGTCAGGGCAGACAGGACTTCCTGAAAAGCGTCACATTTACCAATTCCTGTACTGAGAGCATGGTGTCTGTCATATTGACTTTGGGTATATCTCCAAAGATCTCCATTTTGTATGTTGTATACAGATTTGCAGTAAAAGCATCAGATTGATTTAAGCTCAATACAAGGAGAGCTCTTCCCTGCATTTGTTTGATCAGTAAATGACACAGAGGAACAAGGAGTTTAAAGCAAAGAGGGTCAATAGTGATTTTGTGATCAGAAGTTCCCAAAGAAAACACATGTTAACATCAACATACAGTACTTTCTCTATTTGTGGGTTTCCTGGTTGAAAGCGTTGACCTTCCTGACTTTTCCATGCCCATCTCTTTTGGTCATCAGGTCAATATATTAAAGTGAATACAAGGGATTGTGGATTCTCTTGTAAGTAACTAGTAAGGTATTATTTTAAAGGAACACAGTGAAGAAAACTTTGACATTACTGAAATTCTTACAATAGGAATTGAACACAGATTAACATATGAGCAAAATAATAATAAGATTACATTTTTCTGATAAAAAAATTACCGTTCAAGGAGCAGGGTGTATGATTTAGTGCCATCTAGTGGTGAGGTTTCAGATTGCAAACAACTCAATGCCCCTCCCATAACCCCTTTCCCTAAACATCTCAACTCTACTGAGCCAGTATAATTTCTTCTGTCGCTATGAATATTTGTCAAAAAAAAGACTCAAGTTGTCAGTATTTTGTTTTCCAGTGTTGAAGTATATTACTCTTACTGCCATAAGTATAGGGTGTGTGTGTGTCAAGCTGATCCATTATGACATGGCATATAATAATCACTACAGGAATAAATGGTGTGTTTTGAGGAAGTATAACCCACCAAATTAACAAAAGTATTGAATTGGATTTTAGCTGCATCCAACTCAATGATTAATTAATCATTGAGTATCATCAGTCCCCAATAATATTGGAAGACTGATCAAGAGCCATCCTTAGATTCATCTCTGCTGATCTGAATCTCAACATCACAGTATTTTCCACAGTTTAACACAGGTGTAGCTTCCAATAAAGTCAGTATATATCAAGTTAATGACATTAGCTCCCAGTCGATACTAACACAGTCACTTTCCTGTGTTTACTTTACTAAGTACTCCCGTCCTCCTGTCCTGTCTTTTTCCTTTAATGGCTTTCTTCCTGTCTCAATTATTCACTTCCATCTCATTCACTAACAACCCTGTTAGATTGCAGTCATTATTGCAGCTTCCAGGTGTGACAGTATACGGCTTGCATTATTGTATGCTACAAACAAACGTTGATTTGGACTCTTTGCAAAGGCTTTAACCTGCTATCAAGTATTATGCCCCAAATTCATTAAATATAATCAAGGTCATTTTGTTTATATTGTCTGTGTTAGTCACAATGTGCACATGTAGAAAAACAGCCAATCATATGATGTTGTTCACCTATTGCAGATGAGTCAGATGACTGTATTAAGAGGTGGTGAGTGAGGTTGTGCAAACTAATTAAATAACTCCGGTCTGTACACATTGCTGCAGGAGCTAAATGTGGTTCTTCATTTTTGATTGCCCCATTATCCCTCATATGATATTGCCAATTCTTTTTTTTTTGCTTAGAGCTTGCTGCTGGCTTTATTCTTTCTATGACAGCAATACATAGCATAATGTGTCTGTTATGTACTTATATATTATCTTATTTTGTATGTGTTTTCTTGCACTTTAATGAATTAGGTGAGTAAAGGTTGTTTCACATTAACAATTATTAAGAATAACTTAATGGCATATCATCTTTCGTTATTTGAGTGCAGCTGTTATCACTAGATGGCAGTGTTGGAAAATAACTTCACTTCCAGATAAGGCAAGTTTGATGTGTGTGTGTGTGTGTGTGTGTGTGTGTGTGTGTGTGTGTGTGTGTGTGTGTGTGTGTGTGTGTGTGTGTGTGTGTGTGTGTGTGTGTGTGTGTGTGTGTGTGTGTGTGTGTGTGTGTGTGTGTGTGTGTGTGTGTGTGTGTGTGTGTGTGTGTGTGTGTGTGTGTGTGTGTGTGTTACACTGACTGCTGTCTGACTGCCAAATTCTGCCTGGCTGGTTTTTGAAAGGCATCAACTGACACTTTTTGGACAGTGGTGACAGATAACAGAAAACGCTCTCTCTCTCATAAACACACACACACACACACACACACACACACACACACACACACACACACACACACACACACACACACACACACACACACACACACACACACACACACACACACACACACACACACACACAGTCTGGGGCAGGTTTGTTTGCCAGAAGAAGTTGTAAGATGTCTAACATTAAACCAAGCATATTCGTCTTACATAAGAAGACACAAACGTATTTGGGACAGGATGTAACAGAAACAGAAAGTAATATATAAAGTCATATTTAAATAGGGATTACATGTTAAATATAAGGACATTATTTCAAACTAAATATCATTTTTGGACTGTGCAATTTCATTTCATCCCTCTGGCCTCTGTACCTTGTACTAAAATGTCATACAACAAACGCTTAATTGAAGACAACAAAGGATTGAATCAGCATTACATCATAGCTTTTACTCTAACAGCTATCATACCTCCATCCCTCTTATCTCTTTCTGTTTCAATGGACAAGGAGTGAGTCTATTTGTGGATCTCTGTGTAATATCCTTTGCAAGTCTGTACCACAGGCTGTACAGTGTGAAAACTGAACACTCACAAATACTGTTTTGCTGTTATAAAACTATAAGAAATAAGTAAAACTACTTGTTCTGCTCTTTTTAACAGTTATTTATTAAAACAATATAAGATTTTTCGCAGGCAGCATTTTGAGTTTCAGCTACTGTAGGCCGCAGTTTGGAAATGTAGTCCAGTGGTTTCCAACGCAGCGGTCAGTCCACTCCATATTTTTAGTTTTTATGTTGTTGTTGCTTAAGACTTGGTAAATGTACCCCTTTGGGCCTCTAACAGTTATTTGAATGAAACCATCTGAGAATTTAAGAGGGAAAAGGCCCCAAACAGACAATATAGTCTCAAGCCAATTGGTTGTATTGTATGAGCTCATTTCTTTTAATATGATGTCTAAGTCGAAATAGACAACTTTTAAACTCCCCCCTAGGGTTTCCAAGTGGTATTACTGTTGGGGCCATTGTACTGTAGTAACGAAAACCTGATCACTTTTTGTTTTTCTCAGAGCCTAGCAACTACCAAAAACACAGGACACACTGCTTTTTGATCTACATTTACTGTGTTTTTTTCACCGTTAGCCATTTCCGATGCAGGGGATTTCAAAAGGGTAACTGGGGTTAGCTTTACCGATAGCTACCTGGAAATGAAAAGTGATTTACCCTTCCTGTTCTGGTTTCACAGTTGTTGAGATTTTTCCTTTGTGTCTTAAATTGAGCCGAGAGATTGTACTTAGTGGCAGTCAGAATTTAATATGAAAGTGATGCTTAGGGCACCAATCTTAAAGCTTATTGAGTCATTATTAGCTGTTTCATTGTGCAATCAATACGTAATTTACCTTTATTTATTGAAAAGGACAACACACATAATTGACATTTTTGTAAATGTGCCAGTGTATGCCAGTTGGCTATTCAATTGCAGTCCTTTTGCGACATGTTTTGAAACCATAGCCCTACTGTAAGACAATTAGACACCTTAAAGACAGCAAAAGAAACAAAATAATATATAATGAAAGCAAAACACATGTAGATCACTATTTTATCTGTAAATTAACAAGCAGGCCTACATTTTTCAAATAAATGAAGTAAAGTAAACAACTATAGGCTACCAAATTCTCTATGAAAAGAATAGAAGAACAAGTATTATGTTACTAGAAATACAGGAAGTAGAGGGAAAGGGAAAGTACTGTACTTTTGCAATTGTACTTTGTAGGCAACACTTGAATAAATGTTGTGGGCTTTTACTTACAAGTGGAGTAGTAGCCAACCTTTATATATTGGTGTATTGATTTGAGGCTTTATTGTCATGTGCACAGTAGCTAGATATGGCAATGAAAAACTTAAGTCACAGGCTCCTCCAACAATGCAACATGAATATATAATTATAGGACATAAAACAAATAAATCAAATTGGTAGTTAAGCAGGCTTCAATATCTTAATACCTCCCTCACCGTGCATGGGGTAAGTGTATAAACTAGTGGCTGAACTGAAGGTGTCAGACCTCCTCACCCTGGCATTGACCCCAGCAGCGCCTCTAATCTGCAGCGAGGAATGAGAGGCATTCTGCAACTGCTCACAGGAGGAGGAGGCGGCGGAGGAGGGAGGGGAAGTAACGACGTAGTAGCGAGTCAGTCAGGGAACCAAAGTTTCCAGCGACTCAGCCATCACGGTCTCAAACTTTTCTGAAATGCACTCCTCACGCGGCAGCTGCGAAGGGGATTTAAGCGGCGATAGGAGGCCGTGAGCTCGGGTGTACTTTCTGCAGGGGCTCGGTCCGACCCGGAGAGTCTGAATATGGGTCAGACTGCTGTGTTAGCCGTGTCTCAGCCTGCGAGCGGTGAGTGTTTTGTGTGTGTGTGTGTGTGTGTGTGTGTGTGTGTGTGTGTGTGTGTGTGTGTGTGTGTGTGTGTGTGTGTGTGTGTGTGTGTGTGTGTGTGTGTGTGTGTGTGTGTGTGTGTGTGTGTGTGTGAGATAGACAAGAGCGAGGCACGTACACACATTCCGCTATTTGTATGTCAGGATGTCTGCTAATTTCTGCTTTCCTCTTTTAACATATGTGACGCTTATTTCAAGGAAACTTCCTCACAGCTCAACTCAAACAAAGCGCGTTATGGGTTCATGCTAATTGTTGGTTAGCTGGTAGCAGTGGTGGGAAAAGTATTCATATTCTTTGCTTGAGTTGAAGTACTAATACCACACTGTAAACAAACTCAATTTCAAGAAAAAGTACTGCATCAAGAGTGGTAGCCTACTTGAGTAAAAGTATTTAAGTACGATGAGGACAAGGTAACTTTTAGTTACATAAATATGATGTTGGAGGGTGTAATCCATATCAAATAATCCTACTTTTAAAGCAGTGTGTCAAAATATGGAATAACTAAATAAATCTGGAAAATACACATAAAAGACTAAAAATTATGACATTTGTTTCCAAAATGTAGTAGAGTAAAAGTGTATAGTAGTATAAAATACAAATGTGTGATTAAGTACAGTCCTTGAGTAAATGCACGTAGTTACTTTCCATCACTGGCTAGTGGTGTTGTAAATGAATTAATACACTCTTGCATCATTACTATCTCTCTTTCTAAATGTATCGCTTGTTGTGTTATCCAACTGTTGTAAAACTGCTGAAATACTCACTGTTAAAGCAGGCTACTTGTGCGTTGTGTAATCAATTAGTTGCTGCTATGTAATGAAGTGCACTGTTTAGTTTATGTGAGTTTATGTATTTAGCAACCAGTTTGACATGAGTCCAAATGAACAGCTTAGTTTGTTTTCCTACTGGAGACCTGAAATTGACAAGAGAGCTATCTGAAGCCTGTCTAACTCAATGTAATCTGGGTGGACTTGCATTTAATTCAAAGTCAGGACCCTGTTGACCAACACAACATCACGTTACAATCAACACTACTTATCTCTGTAAAGACTCTGTAGCAAAGGTCATCTCTTATAGTTTAAGTTGCACACACTTTTTATGTTGTCATCGTGTAAAGGCACTGTAGCTATCTGTAGGACTGCAGCTAGTACTTATTGTAATATTTATTTTTCTAACCAACACTTAAAGAAAGTACTTAGTTTTACAACTATGATATGAAACAGGAATGCAGCACATGTTTATAATTGAACGGCTGGATCTACATATAAGGGCTCCAACAAGTTTTTACCTCATTGATTATTCTGCTGACTATCTTTTCAATTAATTGATTTGAGGTTTTTCCAATAGAATGTCAGAAAATAGTGACAAATGACCACATCAATTTGAGCAAACACATGGACATGTCTTCAAAATGTCTTGTTTTTTTCCCACCAAAAATCCCCAATGATATCACTTGAACCTTTAATTGTCAAGTAAAAGCATCCTAGTGTTTCAGGTCTAGTTGTTATAGTTGTATTATCTCTATTTCTGTCATTATTTCATGTTTTAAACATTAAAGTCGAAATATAAAACAGCTCAATACACACCACATTAATATGAACCTCTGCTTTAGATGAACAGTTCATCAGTCAGTGTCAAATTAGTTTCATATTTAGAGAACAACACATCAAAGTGTTATCCAATACTCCTTGATATCGATTGTCCAAGTTTCATTGGCATGAACACGATGCTTTCAAAAGATTTTTCCTCATTTGGTGTTATGATGATGGTGGGAGGGAGTGCTATAGTGTGAATAAAAAATGTGTTCAGTTGGATGGAGACCTGATCATTATTCTCCTGATTCAAATGATTATGTTGCTTGCTGAAAAAACCCCACATGGTCCGCTTCATAGCTGTTTTACAGCTTTTGATCATATAACATAGCGTTCCCCAGCAAATGGAGTTAATCTGTTGTCATATCTGTCTCTCAGTCTGCAGAGGAAGATTGTGTCATGTGATCAGAGCTCTTGAGCAATAGTATGCCCTTGTGGTGAGATGTTGTCTGTTGATGTTTGCAGGATAAAGAACTGTATGTACTAATGTATACATCTATGACTACATCAATCAGAAATTGGCGAAATTCTTCAAGAAAAGCCAACCTGTTTTGATTATGGTTACAACATTACTCCAGTCTGTAACTGAAGTATTAGAAGAAAAAAACCTGTGGATGAATCATGAAGCTTATGAAGCCTAAACATATAAAACACAAGAGTAGCACATGAGAGTGTGAAAACCTCCACACTTGCAACTCGTTTTTTGGCAATCTGTAGTCCTTTGTCTGTCAATGAGCAATAAAAGTGCGCATTTCACATTTGTTAACAGTTTTTATGGGAATGCTTTAAGGCAGAGAGGCACAGGAAGGGACGAAGGATTCCGGATGAAAACAACATTGAACATTCTTTATGACGCTGTCAGCATTTAGAGTAAATCGCAGACTGTTTTGTAGCTCACTTAAACCAACATGCATAGGAACCTGAGGCTGTAATTATGATCTATATGCTGTGCATGGCTGCATTATGGGTTACATTATGAGGCTGTGTTGTGATTTAAATGCTGAATGTACAGTACTAATAGCAGGAGATGAGAAGGGATTCTGCCATAGTCGTATTGGAAGATCATCAACATAAAACGGATATCCTCCTAACGTTAATGACTTATGGCGCTGCGTTTAAACACTATAAAGCTTCAGTTTCCTGTTTGATTACTTTATGGTCTGTTACTTAAGCCTAATTCAAGCTGCTACAGTAGGTCCTGTGAGTATCATGAGTTAAACAGTACTGTGCTTCTCTGGCCTATTGGAGAAAGAGTTGGAAGAAATGACCAAAGTGTTGAAACTTCAGCTAAAGCCCAGCGACGCCCCTCCCTCTGCTCTCGTCCAACACCTCTTTTTGCCTTTTTTTCCTACCTAGTTTCTGCTTTCTTTCCCACATTTGTTTTGCCCCACCTCTGTTTCCACCTCTCACCTTCTTCTCCTCTTTTTTGTCTCTTTTTTTTCTCCCCCTTCCATCCCTCTTCCTCTGTTGGTGACGTCTGGTTCTTCCCTCCCTGGTGACTTTCAGTGAAGGAAGGAAGCCTCTCCCTTTCCCCTCCTCCTACACACATGTTCCTGCTATAACGTCTAACAAAACAGACAGGATTTGCCAAAATATATATGCACTTTAACCCTAACATTACTTCTGTTCTTCTACATTAATGTAGCTTAAAAGTTAACTTAATAAATCCTGTGTGTGACTTCTTCATTGAGTTGTCTGTCGTGCCCCAAGTTGAGTTCCTGATTATCCCACGCATTTCCACAGCTGCGATTTATCCAAATCCTGACTCACCCTTCTAGCATGACATCGCGAGTCATCTGTTACAAAAATAAACGCCTCTGTGAAATATAGTGTGGAATCGTGGCGTCGAGTCAGCAGGTTTATTTTGTAATAAAGTCCCTAAGTAACTGAGGTAGACTGAAGCTGCATTTCTGTGATTAAAAAGCTGTAGTCAATATTATATTGCTTTTCTTGAACAGATCTGTCTTGCCTGGAATGCAGGATTGTAGTAAAACTGCGGATGTTTGCAGTTCTTTTGTCTAATGAATGGATTTTAATACTGGTAATTGACTTGCTGAAGCATATACAAAATGTTGTATTATTCAGCTGATCAATAAACTGAAGCTTTTCTTGTTGCCTCTTCGCTGAGGTTTACAGTATGTTTAATTTTAATTTGACTTACTGTAGTGAAACTGTAGTGTTCAAGTTTGTCTTCCTGAGGCTTTGAGGTTAAGCTCTATTGTATTATTTATAAAGCTATCTGTGTACTGATAGTGGCTAATGCAGTTTTTAAAAGTAATATGTATTTAAATATTGTGATTCTGATGTCCATTGCTTATTAAATATATTTGAATGTGTCTGAAAAATGAACATAAAAGCTAAAAACTTGTTACAACACAAAATGGGACCTATTTATATATATTTACTAAATGTTTTCTCTTGGCCAATGTATCCAGTTTCCTGGGAATGTAGGCTTAAGAAAATATCCACTTCCTGTAACACATGACACGTATCAGTCACAAATCTTCCCTATCCATTTATTCCTGAAGGATACAGTTGGGCCTTTTTGTAAACAGCAAAGGAAATCAAACATGTCATCTGTCTTTTTTGCTTAAAATACTTATAATTACTAATAATAAAAGCAATGAGGCCAATGTCTGTTGATAGAGAGGATTTTCTGCCTATAAAAAGACTGTCCGTTTACTTTCACTATCTCCTTCTCTCTCCCCTTCCTATTTGATTTAAAGTCTATAGTCCATGATAAATGTTATTTTGCCCCTATTTGGTTCCCACTAGCAGTGTTACCGTAATGGTGATGATAATCTCTGTTACTGATTTTCCCATCATTAGCTGCGCGAAGCAGCTGCTGAAATGTTCCTATTGTTGCGATTTGATATCAACACAGGAACAGGAAATGACTGTGTGTGTGTGTGTGTGTGGATATGTGTGTGTGAGAGAGCGAATTAAATTGGTGTCAGGGGAGAGCATGTACTGGGCTCTGCACTGCACTTTTCCATGTCTTCACTCTTGGTTTTTTTGTGCTTTTAATTGCCCTTTTGTTTGTTTATTTTATGCAGGATTTCACAGTAAATGCGTTGACAACATGAACATTGTGCAGTTAGCATGGCTTAGGGCTGCTCCTTCTTAGTAGATTAGTCCACTGATGTGTTTTTAGTGTTTGTTGATTAGAATTTCTCGTTGATCAATCATATTTTATGATCTTCCACTCTGAAAGTCTTATTTCCAAGAAACCTTTGAGAACCTTTGCAGTAAACACAAGATTTAAAGGTGACCTTGTGCATGACTCTTTTGTGAATCCTGAGAAATGTTGATTGAACCCACTAGGCCTGATCTATATGTCGAGAAAATCGTATGAGTTGACTAAGAATTGCTTTATCCAACAACTGCTCTAATTGCTCTTGATATAACAGCCGCACTTTATAACGTTCAATAACATACGTCTCCTGCAGACCACCGAATGTTTACATGTGATATATTCAGGGTGCTCTTTACCTGAAACAGCACATTGATCGGCCTTCAGCAGTCAGAGGCAGATCATCGCTCTCAGCTCAGGTCCATCAGTGGAGTCTAATGAGCAGCAGATGGCCAGCTAAATCTACCGAGAGCCAACCAACAGAGTATTGATTGTTTACTATTGATCCGAAGGCTCCATCAGATGTAAGAACAAATACAGATACGTTCCAAATTGTGTATTTTATTTCCTGCACTTCACCTGGAATCATTAATTTACCTTTTTGGCAAAAGGTGGCCCAACTAATAATTCCTTATAAATGTGCTAAACATCTGGATCATCCGGCCAAACTGCTAAGTGAGTTTCAGCTGTTTTTTTGCTGACTATGTTGCTGCATAAGCCTCTTAGATAGAACTCAGAAAAAACTGCGCTGTTGACTTTTCAACCGAACTGTATTATGTTTGTAGCCACCGTTATTGAGAGGGTCATGAGCTGTCGGTCTTTACATCTTTACCCATCATCAGCAAACATCTGATTTAGTCACATCACTGTTTCTGTGTATCTGTGCACATGCTTTAACAGCAAAGGTTAAGACTGGCCTGTGAATGAAGCGTGAATGAAATGCCTTCCACCATCTCGCTCTCTGAAAATATAATAATCTTGGAACATTAATGTGAACACAAACACTACAGACATAAGGAGCCAGTCAATTACATTATGGTAGGAACATTTCTTAGACAGGCTGATCAGAAGTAGTTTACAAACATCAAGAAAATAAGCACAGTTATAAATCCCAATTTCAAAAGGAAAAATGTTTAACACATCAAATAAAATCGCCATAGTTATATATAATAGTGTAATCTATATTGACCCCTGCAAGGGTAAAATAGCTGACCTCCAGTATTTTTTCAACAGCTTCTAGCATACAACATCTTAGACCAAACTGTCAGTGGTCAAGTTGCTTTGTCAGTAATGTCTGTGCAATGCTTTGAAAAGACAATATCTGTGGTTCTGTTTTTAAGTTATTATTTGTGTTGTCATTTTCCTGTACACTCAAACACATCGACTGATAACTGACCATATCAGCCACAGGTTTAGACTTCAGTTCTGCTGCTACAGTAACTTGACAATCTTTTAGGGAACACATTTTTGAGGGAAAAAGATTTTGTGACAAATTGCGCTCAAAAGTATATGTTTGTATACTTTAAAACTTTTTATCCCAGCTGGAGTTTCTACAGTCAGGAGACACGAGTGTTTCAGCAGCAGCTGTTATGTAGCTGAAAAAACAAAAAGCCTTCCTCTGCCTAAATCTGAAGAATCACACACCACCTCTCTTTCCTCTGCACACACACACACACACACGCACGCACACGCACACGCACACTCAGCAGTCTTCCAGAGAGTTCACAGGACTTCTAATCTTTCAACAGGAAGAGGAGGAGTTGTGGAAGGACAGGGATCTAGCCAAGACACACACACACACACACACACACACACGGCAAATGCACTGTATGAAGACAGAGTTAGAAATAATATTTCCCCTAACCCGTGAAATAAGTATTTGATGCAGCAATGTGAAGCTGCATTGTCAAAAAATAAGAAAACTAATATATTGAATATATTTCTGCAAGCATTGAGTTTTGTTAAAGCAAAGAGGGCTCTTCTCGGACTGATCAGTTGTTACATTTTAGTGGCATAAATATTTTTTCAGCATTTCACAACAAGAATAGCGTTCGGTAAAACAAAAACTTGTTTTGCATCCTATCTTGTTAAACATCTTAAATCCTGTAAGGCAAGTCCTTTAGTACATAAAAGACACATTGGTACCTTAATAGCAATGTGCAAGATACCCTGATAGAAGTGTGTCATGAGTTACCCTGCGGTTTCCTCCCATATTTCATTTAATAACGGAGTGTGTAGTCAGTGTTATGCAGTATGAACGAGTGAAAAGAAGGCTTTGTTTGCTTGAAATTAATCTGGACATAGTGTTCCCAAACATATTTAAATCAAGCATTAGCTGTTAATAGCACAAACTATGTTGTTTATTTATACGATAGCATGTGTATTTAAATCCATGCATCACAAGACATGAATGGCATATAGAGAACTGGACTGCATGGTTGTGTTTGTATCACGATCAAAATCAGATGATTGATGTTGTATGTTTTTAATTCCTGCATGTGTGTCTTACAGTTGATGGGTTGGAGAAATCCTCATCCCTGGCCAGCTGTGACGTGGTGGTTGACAGCGCCGCAAATACCCAGAATGCCCCTACATCCCGGCAGCAGCGAGGCAAGCTGTCGTCAATAGGACAACTTTTCAAACCCTGGAAGTGGAGAAAGAAGAAGACAAGCGACAAGTTCCAGGATCTTTCCAAAGGTAGGATATCTGTGTGTTTGTTTCAGAGTGTCCATAAAACATTTTGGCGCACATTTTTGGATTTATGCTCAACATTAAGTGTGAACAGGAGCAGTTGCTCCCAGAAGGCCTTTAAAAGGAAAATGTGGTTAGTAGCTCTCACTTAATTATTCCTGAAGTGTTGGCTGGGAAAGAAAGAGGGACAAGAGTGAATACAAAAAGCAAAGACACACATTTTTCATGGCTGCCAGGTTATGTCTTCTTCATTATTTATACTCAAAGAAGACAAATTCTGCTCTTTTTTTAGGTTCATATTAGTATGTTGTCCCTCTACTGTGACATGTCTCTATGCTTTCATGTTTAAAAGGGTGTTGGACTCCCTATGAGGAACTGTGGGATATTAGCCTTTGCAGACCGTTTACATGCACACAAACCTATATAACTACCTTTATATTGTAACGACCAGGGCGGCAAAAAGTCACTTTTGTATAATTGCTTTTATGTGATTGTATTTGTCTTATTTGAATTGTATTCTCTGTTTTATTATTTTCTGTGTTATACTTTGTATTCTCATGTTTAAATGCTGTTGTTTAATTCACTTGCTGTCTGTGTATTTGTATGGTAAAGCACTTTGTAACTACAGTATCATTTGAAAGGTGCTATATAGATAACGTTTTTATTATTATTATTATTATGACACAATACTATTATCTTAACCCTTAGATGCATAAGTGGGTCTTTTTGGACCCGGTGAGGTGGTTTTCTTGAAGTATCTTTGTAATTACATTTTTTTATCATTTCATATTCCAGCTATTCCTCAAAAAACATGTTTTGGATATCATGCCATTCTAATTTTAAATTTACATTTTATACATTTTAAGAAATTGTAGTTTTTGTATTACTACCCCAAGCTTCCATAAGTGGGTCTTTTTGGACCCGGTGAGGTGGTTTTCTTGAAGTATCTTTGTAATTACATTTTTTTATCATTTCATATTCCATAAGTGGGTCAAAACTGACCCGCATGCATTTTCTATTGAATCCTATGGGAAAACGTTTTTGTTCAAAATGTAAAAGACATTTCTAAAATTATAAATAGTGAAAAGTTAAATATAAAATATTTCTAGTGTGAACCAAAATGTAATACTAAATATTATACAAGAGATTTTTCTTAACCAAAATGACAAAAATTGCATAAAAACACATATTATTCTAATACGGGTCCTTTTAGACCCACTTAGTGCATCTAAGGGTTAATAGCTGCACATCTCAGCTCTCTGTGTCTCCGCTGTGAACAGATCTTGTTGTCAACAAGGCCGATTAATTCCTCATGGTCCCATTCTCAAGAGGTTTTAGATATAAAAGAAACAGTTTAAGGGTGAACGGTTTGGTTCCTCTATTATGTGGCGCTGTCACGTGCATTGAGGATTTGGCAATCACAAGAGGAAAGTCGATGTTGTGCAATGCTTTTGTAGAACTCTGTGTAGTATGTATTGCTTCAGCTATAAGACTAAACAAAGGCTTTGATCTTGTCTTTTATTCAGTTCTAGAGAGAAAAATCTCCACCAGACAAACGAGGGAGGAGCTCATCAAGAAAGGAGTTCTGATTATTGACCAAGGTTTGCCTGATCATTCATTCACATGTTGTTCATTTAATTATTGCAACGTATCCAAGGTGCAATGTTCAGCTTTATTATCATTATACAATACAGAACACTGTCCTTCACACTTTAAAGTTCAGCTGTCAAATATGAATACAGTTTCCTGTGGCCACTTAAACTGTGTTTGGACTTGCTTTCTAGCATCTCAGTTTCACTGTTAACAATGTTTTACCTTTTCTAGAGGAACCAATCAGCAGTGAAAATCAGAATGGCCATGCCACATCAAGTGTGACATCAGAAGAGGTCAAAGTTGACATTGAGTCTCCAGAAACGGCGCCAGAGGAGCAGGCCAGCAGGCCCGCCAGCACTGAAAACAAAACAGGTAACTAATGGAGGCCAAACGCCAGCTTTTGGTATGTGTCCTGTAATATAAGTCTACTTGGAGACTTTACTATAGGAACTCTGTACTAGTTATCCATTGAATTGAGGTTTCATCCTCCAATTCTATCTATAATACCGGAACAATTGTCCAAGGAATAACACTTAGAACTAAGCATAAATTATACAATATGAAAGCCCCCAATAAGTTCTCGATATTTTCAAGTTTGTTATACCTGGACAGAAAAGAAAGAATGGTCGGGGGCAAAATACGAATGAAAAAAGGAGAGAAAAGAGTAAGAAAGAGGCTCTTTCTCTTGAAGGGGTGTGTGGTTTTGGAGAGTGCGAGGTGTAGAAAAACTAAATGAGATGTCTGACATCAATCAATGGGAGGTTCACCCATTAAAACAATGGTTAGGTGGGTAGAAGGGTGTCTATGAAGAACTTTGACACCTGAAGCATAAAAGGCTCCAAGTTCAAAGTTTTTTTTTCTGGGATATGGAGATATTCTGTATTGGTATTAATGTGTCCAGTTCAACAAAGATAATATTTATAAGTTAGAACTAATTGTTGCAGTTTTTTTTTAGATGTTTGTTGCTTTGAAGTCTTTCTCCCCTCTTTCGGGGAATGCATTTGTACCGGCCGGCAGCATGTTTCTGGCTGATATTAAATCCTCTGTGGGATCTCTGACGGAGTCTAATGTGTTCAGATATATATTCCCATTATATCAGCTGCAGCAGGCATTCTCAGTCTAAACACAGCAGCAGCCCTCTGCTAATGCCTCCCTCTCCCTCAGGAGACAGCCACTGTGCTTCTGTCTAATGCTTAAGTGTTGCACTGTGCTCATTTCAACCCTGTTAGCATTGAGCTCAGAGCCATTTGTTTGTCCATTTGTCGATAAGCAGAAAGGCAAAGGGAACAAACACTACTAATATAGTAACAGAACACACATGCCTTCATGGTGAAGGATAGGGAAGGTCAATCTGTACATTTTATCTAACATATTCCAAGCTTGATACATCCTTCATTTGTAGCAAAACTATATAAAAACTACAAGACTAACAGATCAAACATCTCAGCTCTGTCCTAATCACCTCTTATCTTTCATTCTCTTTCTTTGCTTGACTAAATAACAATTTCTGAATCCGATGTGCATCTTCTTTCTTGCTTTGAATCCCTTTTTTAACCTCTCAAAACCTTCCTGTTTCCACTGATTTGCTCAGAGAGGTCCGCCCCTAAACCCCTCACCCGGGGAAAGCAGGTGAGACCTCGAGATGTGCAAAAACAAAGACAGCAAAGCGCCACTCTGCCGGCTCCTTCCACACCTGCGGGTAGCACTGCAGCCACCACCAAGCACAGGGAGGGTGCTTCGGGGAATAAAAAGACTACTAAAACCACAGGCAAGACAGGCACGTCCACTCAGGCTAAAGCTAACCCGCGGAGCACTAACACCACTAGTCGTGTGATTGGTAAGTTCGGCTAGCTGGGACTGAAGCTAGTTTGCCTGTCAGTGTTCTTGCCTGCTTGCCTCCCTGCATGGAAACTGTGCCTGTTACACTATTAAATAGAATAAAGAGAGCCGTCTGAAACTAGTGAGTCAAGCTTATTGATAGAATTCCCCATCCCTCCCTCTTGAAACTGTCCTTTTATAACCAGAAGGTATTTCAGGTCAAGTGAGTAAATGTGAGTAAGGGTTTATGATATCTGTTTCTGAGAAAGCAGAAGTGAAAATGTGTTTGTTTTTTTCAGCTCTGTAAATGGCCAGTGCAACCTCACTGTGAGTGTGTGTGTGTGTGTGTGTGTTTGTGTGAGCCAGAGCACATGAGTGTGACTGAGGTCAGTGTAGCATAAAATGGTCTCTGTCAAGCTCCTGTGGTTTTGATTGATGGCATGATGCTAGGGCATGATCATCACCCTTCATCCATTTATCCCTTCCATCTGTGTGTGTGTGTGTGTGTGTGTGTGTGTGTGTGTGTGTGTGTGTGTGTGTGTGTGTGTGTGTGTGTGTGTGTGTGTGTGTGTGTGTGTGTGTGTGTGTGTGTGTGTGTGTGTGTGTGTGTGTGTGTGTGTGTGTGTGTGTGTGTGTGTGTGTGTGTGTGTGTGTGTGTGTGTGTGTGTGTGTGTGTGTGTGTGTGTGTGTGTGTGTGTGTGTGTGTGTGTGTGTGTGTGTGTGTGTGTGTGTGTGTGTGTGTGTGTGTGTGTGTGTGTGTGTGTGTGTGTGTGTGTGTGTGTGTGTGTGTGTGTGTGTGTGTGTGTGTGTGTTGCAGCATGTGTGTGTGTTGCAGCATGCGCGTGTCTTGCAGCATGCGCGTGTCTTGCAGCATGCGCGTGTCTTGCAGCATGCTTGAACTAAGCAGCCCAGAGTCAGAATATTACATGTGCTTTTCATGCAGGCTTTTCTGAAAAACGCATTTGTGCATTTTATTTTTAGTGACTGGAGACGTGTGAAAATATGTGTTTCACTAGTGTTTTTAGTAATTAAACACCCCTCCTCGGGCTGCTTTCACCAACACAAAGCTACAGTCAGTATTCACTTAGGTCATCTACATTTTTAGCATTTTGATGATGCATTTAGAAACTTTAATTCTAATACTGAAATATTATTGGTGCAATCATTACTGCATTGAACTAGATAACATTTGTTATGCCCATATACTGTAGATTTGGGACAAAATGATAAGCCTTTTAATGGATTTGTCAAGGACATACAAATGGCAATGTGAATGTTTTTATAGCCAAAACATCAAAGGTTGCATTTATTATGTAATCAATAATGATGGATTATGTCACATTCCTCTTTCATACATATCTGTTCAGTAAATCACCGGTTCTAAGTTTTCCTTTTAGTAAAATGTAGAAACCAAACGATTATATTTCTGCCCATGATTTGTTTGCTTCAGCGCAAGTTTTACAACTTTTTCCCTCGTCCCCCCACCGGAGCCAAACCTGCAGGCGGCTGTCAGTGAAACACAGACTCCTCCAGCCAACTGAGACAAAAGAAACATTTCCCCAAAGCCCCTTTTCCTCCTTTTTTAATAATAACATTTATATGAACAGTACATTTAAGACAACCGAAACAGTTTTAATGGAAAAAAGAGGACTCAATGTCATCATTGTTTGACTTTAAAGTAAATATGTAAGACACAGAATATGTATACACACCAGCAGATATTGAGTTTATGTTTACAAAACCTGCACGTTTTCCTGTTGGAGGAAACTGGAAAGTCTAATATTACCCTTCTCTCTTTCTCTTTCTCTTTCTCTTTTGCTCCGGCTTCTTCTCAGACAAATCCACCCAGCCAAAGACAAAGACAGGATCCACGACAAAAACCGCCCCCGCCACCACCCCTCGTTCTCGTGCGTCCAAAGACGGTGGATCAGAAACTGGGGGGACCAGTGCAAGGACCATCCGGAAATCAAACAGCTCTTCCTCCGTACCTCAAAAGGCCCCCGCAGAGACTCCTAGCACCCCCGGGCAGTTAAAAAGCTCGTCCTTTTCCTCAGAAACCAAGCATGCCTCCTCTAAAGCCTCAGGCAGTAACACAGAGGGATCTCACGCTGCCTCTCAACCGGCTGGAGAGCCTAAATCTGTTCCCAAATGCTCCACTGCTGGTGAGGAGACACAAAAGGGTGTGGCCTCTGAGTCCACTGCCCAGTCTCCCCATATCAACGGTGCCACAGAGGACACTTCGTTCACTGACGGAGAGATGGGCAACAACTTACAAGGGGAGAAACGGGGGAGAACAGGAGGGGAGGGAGGAGAGGAAGAAAAGAAGACAGGAGAAACCGAGTTTGCAGTGGAGAACAGCCCCAGGTAAAAATTTAGCGAGGCCATGAGAGTTGGTGAAACATTCCTCACATTCGTGTTCTCCGAATGTCAGTTCTGATAATTCTATAGAACATTGCTGGTCTTAACAGTCAATACTGGCAATATATCAATAGTTTGTGTGTGCAAATAACTACAAGTATTAACATTTACAGCTTAAAATGTCTCAGTATTTGTTTCTTTGTCGTTCCCCGCAGGTCTGCAGAGGGCCAGTCAGAAAGGACACAGGGCCTCACTGTGAACACAGAGAAAGCCGAAGTGACGGTGATCCCCGATAGGCCGAGATACAGCACAACTAGCGACTCTGACTCTGATGGACCAATCCTGTACCGCGATGAGGAGGAAGATGAGGAGGAAGACGAGTACACAACCAGTACGGCATGAGTTTTGTTAAGCATCACATAACAGGAACACAGGAAAGCGCCTGTAGTACAAACATTTTAGAGAAGCTCCTCGTGACACATCGACTGTCACGTGATGATGTGTAGGGTGCTTGTGTTTGGTATTTCACAAGGACATGCTATTAGTTTTGTAAAAGCAGCGTACAAACTAGAGAGACCCAAGCAGCTCTTGGTTTGAATTACAATTGAAGTGATTGATGGTTTTAAGAGTACACTGACCAGTTTATTAGGCTCCTCTTATATTCCAGCAATTCAAAGTTGTTCACCTGAAGTTTGTGGTATGAATCAGTATCATTAACGGTTCAGTTGAGCTTTCAACCAGGAAAAACAGAACATATTCACTTTGAAGGTGTTGTGATAGTTGATGATAAATGTAGCTATAGGCTAATCTGAGCTAGCAGTTGATGTGAACATGATGCAGGTTTTTTAAGGCATTTAAAAGCCTTTGACTAGCTCGTCTCTGTTCCAGGCCCCTTGGCCATTAAGATCCGCCGACGAGACACCCTGAACATCAAGCTCGGGAACAGACCCAGCCAGAGAGAGCTGGAGGAGAAAAACATTCTGCCGCGGAGCTCTGAGATGGAGAGAAGTGAGTTCCGCCAGATGATTGGCTCCAAACTAGTCAGGTACACACTCACACACTCACCATGCTGTGAAACTGTAGCTAGGTGTGAATTTTCATATTTGATTTGGCAGGGCTTTACGGTAATAAGAGAGACTGTTAACTGTGTTATGATGTAGTTGTGGGCGGTTTATTAGTTTAAAAAAAAAAAAAAAAGTTCTTAAGTTTACTACCAGACGAGGCAGAAAGGCTGGTGGCAAACAGCACTTGGATTAGCAACAAGAAGAGGGTGTGAAATAATTATGTTTTTTCCCAAATGTAACTGTTATAATTGATGTGTATTATTCAGTGTTATGTTTGAATGATTTCTTATCAGCTGCGTGTAAGGAAGTACGTGAACACAGTTTTCTCTTTTCAGGCGCCTGAGCCAAAGACCCAGCACAGACGAGCTGGAGCAGAGAAACATCCTCAAGCGTGAGTTTCTGAAATACACTATAACACTGAGGGGTGATGTAATGCAGCTTTTCTAGGGTGTCATCATGTTTTTTTTTAGCTATTGCAATATTATGAACGTAATACATAAAAAGACACCAGATAAAGGTATGAAGTACTGTCACAACATACTGTATAATCATCTATCATAGAATTAGCTCAAAATAGAAAGATCTGGCAAAATAACTGTTGGGGGATTACAATTAATACAATTATATACTATAAACAGCTAGATTTGATAATAGTGAATCATAAAATGTCCATCCAATCCTGACTTTATTTTCTGCAAAGCTGTTTTTATGTCCATTTTCGCACAAGTAAAAGGCAGGAATAGCTGATGATTGCAACACCAATATTGTGTGTCCTTATGACATAAAGTTTCATATCTGACAAAGAAAATATGTTGTTAGAACAGATTTTGTGGTGTTCCAGCTGTGGCTGCAACAAATTGCCAGATACAGACTCGCGTGCTTCATTAAGCAAAGAGATTACACAGATATGCCCGTCTAAATTATGAGTTACAGTCTATTAGAAGCTGTGTCACACTGAGGTCTGTATTATTTCACAGGCTGGATCAAAAGTGAGTTTACGGACTAGTATACTGCGTTAATAAAAGTCAAGTTAGTTCAGGTCACTTAGTAGGGCTGCATTTTGCACAATACACACTTACCCTGATAAAATGACTGTCAAATAAATATGTGTTATACTACCAAGCAGGACTTAAATCATTCTGCTAGAGGGTTAGCAGGATTGCTTTTTTTGCCAACTTTGCATTTCTGAGACCAAAAAGAAGGCTTTCAGCTAAGTATATTGGGTAATAACTTGTTTTGCTCTTGGCCTATCCAAACCAGTTCAAACTGCTTTTTCTCCTACTAAAGACTGAATATAATATGCTTATTGCTAAGTGGAAAACACACAAAAAATAGCAACCAACAACAATCACCAGTTTGTGTTGGATACAACACATTAAAAGTAAAACTCTGAAACCGTTGATTATATCTAAGGTATGTCCAAACAACTATGGCATAACCCAAGAGGTATAACATGACTTTCAAATATATCTGATCATTGTTTTGATCAAGTGTATCCCTTTGAAATGACAGTTATTTGAGGCTGTAACTGAACACATTAAATACACAACAGCTGCTAAACGGCCAGGATGTGATACTGATCTACTGACACATCTTCATAACAAGATTTTGCAACCAGTTGGTTTGCAACTTCAGTGCATGGCATCCATCTGAAGGTGTTGATACTTACTTGATACTAAGTGTTTACAGTGCAACACAGCCCCAGCCTGGTCAACACCAGTAGAATGAGGCCAGCATCTAATGAATGAACATCACTTGAGTTCAATAAACACATTTCTATGTTAAAACAAACTAGTTTTAGATGATGTAAACATGTAATGGCGTGTATTGTGCTAAAAGTAGCCATCAGAAGATTGGTTGCTCATACAGGAATGGACAAGGGCAGAAATACTCCAATAGGCTGTGACGTATAAATTTTGTCAATTTCGGAGCCAAAGTTTGCCCAAAAAATTATCCCCAGCCTCCGTTGATGGTACAATGCAGTATGGATCCATGCCTCCATGCTGTTTACACCTAATTCTGACCCTACCCTGTGAGTGTAGCAGCATAAATCAATATTTGTCAGACAAGGCCCCATTTCCTCATTCTTTAATTGGCCAATTGTAGCTTCAGTTTCCTTGTTGTTAGCTGACAGCAGTAACTATCGGTGTGGTCCTCTGCTGCTGTAGCCCATCTGCTTAATGTTTGACATCTTTGTGTTCTCTTCTGCTTTCCTTTGTGATAACACGGTTATTTGAGTCACTGTTGCCTTTGTATCAGCTCAAATCAGTACAACCTGCTCCTTTGACCTCGTTTTAGACATGCTAAAATCTAGATATTTTCTCTTTGTGTCTGTCAACTTTAGATGTGGTTGTGCGTGAGAATCCATGTAGGTCAGAAGCTTCTGAAATACTCAAAACCAGTTTGTCTGGCACCAACAACCATGCCAATTAGTTTAAATCCTTTTTCCTTCTCTATTGTGATGCTTAGTTTGAGCAGATATTCTCAACCATGCCTTAAAGGTAGGGTAGGTAAGTTTGAGAAACCGGCTCGAGATACACTTTTTGTTATATTCCATGGAATGCTCTTAACATCCCGATAGCAATGAATATCTTAAGTGCTTTGACAAAAAATCCATAAAAAAATGTCATCTGTGGAAGCCGTAGTACTGTAAAAAGCACGACCAATCATTTTAGCCGGCCCGGCTAAAATAACTGGATGGCCTACCTGCCTGTCAGCCTTCCATCTGTGCACAAACTTATCTCGTGCCCTCATTGGTCATGTGCGCGTTCGTGTGTGTTGGAGGAGGGGCTCTGTAAGGAAGTGGCAGATTTTTTCCGGCTGTGTATTTTCAAATTCTTGCGCACTCGAACCGGTTTCTCAAACTTACCTACCCCACCTTTAATGCATTGAGTGATAGAGTGTGAGTGTAGAGAATATAATAAATATCCATGACGACGCCACAGGAGAGAATGCATTACTAATATGATTTATTCTCTCTCTTGAAAAATTCAGAATACATATATCCCCTTTAGCTGTTGTTTATGTTCAGGCATCACACCACTCTACAGCCATGGATGGCCACGCTTGTATGGCGAATCACATCTTGCTGTTATAAATAGTAGCAGAGGCTCTTGCAGACACAGTACTGTAGGTGTGAAATGACTCTGTTGCTTCTCTGCGTGCAGAAAAAAATGAATCTGAGGAGCAAGAAGCCAGGCAAGAGATTAAAAGGAGACTCTCCAGAAAGGTACTGTAAACACGTGCACACACACACACACACACACACACACACACACACACACACACACACACACACACACACACACACACACACACACATTAGAAAGATCAGATAGGACGGAGACAGTCTATATTTAGCTGCTAATGTGTTTTGCTCCACCTTTTGGGTGATGTGCAGAAAAGATGCTTATGTGAACATAACAGCCCCTCTAGTGGTCACAAATGGAGCTAACACTTTTGAAACTGTGGAGTATTCTTCCTGTGCAGCTCTTGGTTAAATGAACATATGCTCACATGAAAAGAAATGTACATAATAAATACAGAGCATGACCAGCTTGTTTGACTTTAACTGAGAAGACTGTTCTTGATGTTAATGTGCTTCTTCCTCTGTATGTGTAGCTGAGTGTGAGGCCTACAGTCGCAGAGCTCGTGGCCCGCAGGATCCTTCGTTTCAACGAGTATGTGGAGGTAACGGACGCCAAGGATTATGACCGGCGGGCGGACAAACCCTGGACCCGGCTTACTCCCTCCGACAAGGTGCTTAACTGAATATGCTGCATTGTTAAACCTTGATTTATTGGTTAATAGATGATTACTGTTTCACTTTTTTATGTAAGCATTAGTCCGCGTCCATACTTTTTTTAATTGTTAGATTAAGCTTTAGATCGGCCTCTAAATGCAACTTTAAGTGGTTAAAGTATGTCAATGCATTGACAAAAGACACCTGAACATTTGCCTTTATGCATTTGTTAAGTATATCATTTCAAAACTGTGGGCATTACTGTTGTAATAAACAACAAATAGGACTCAGAAGAATGTATTCTTATGGAACTGGCTTGGTGCATTAAGATACATGATAAAACTACTAAGATATAAAGTACACACTATATATTTTTGATCACTTGCACACATGCAAGATGAAACATGTGTCAGAAAGAATTTTAGTGCATGCACCATCACTCCTGTTCAAAGGGCCTCATGTCTTTCAAAACCTCATAGAAGGATAGAGGCCCTCAGGGTGGGTTGGAGGGCAGTTTTTATGCCAAGCATGCCCTCTGCTGTTGATGTTAAGAACTACAAATCATTACTGCAAGCTCATAAATAGTTAGGATTTCATATATAGTTTAATAACACTTAAGAGTTTGTTATTTACTTTCTGAATACAATAGTTCTATATTCAATTATTGATGGTGTTTTATAAAAACAGACAAAATCAAATCAATATATCTAAAAGAAGGAAAAACAATGCATCTTTGTTCTGCTGTGTACATTGTCATGTATATTGTTCATGCCAGTACTTATTTACATGTTTACATAGCACTATAAATTGTAGGTAGCTCCCTGAAGTAAAGACTGTATCTGGGCACATTTATGGAAAGTATGCAAAAGAGTTTGAAAGTCCAAATGAGAGGCCACAGGCTGGATGTGATTAGAGTAGAAAAACACAGCTGTGTATTAGCTGTTTGGATGTGTTGTGAGTGTGTGGGTTAGGGGAACAGGTGGCCTTGTCCTGCTAGGTACATTTTATCCTTGTGTGTGTGTGTGTTTGTGTTTGTGTTCTTCCCTCAGGCTGCTATCCGTAAGGAGCTGAACGAGTTTAAGAGCCGTGAGATGGCGGTTCATGAAGACAGCAAACAGTTCACCAGGTACGCCAGCGGTCAATGACCTCCACCATTTAGTCAGGCATGCCACTAACTCCCGTTCTCAAGCGGCAAACTCTGGGGCAGAGCCGTGAAGCCCATAAGGAAGTGCCACAGACTGCAGTTCATCTAGTGGCCGATAGGGGATGGATGCAGAAAGGCGCTATTTCCATAGACCCCCATGTTAAAATGCCCAACTTTACAGCAGAAATAAACATGTTTCTAGCCTGGATCCAAAAAAACATATTCTGGATATACTTAGATTTCCACCTTCCTGACAATGGTTCAGGGAGTTTTCTTTTCACCTCGAGGGACAGGTCTCTGCTGTGACTGCTGCTCCTATCTTTCTGTCTCTGCTAGTAGCTCCGTTAGCTCCAGGCTGCTACAGGGGCTCAGCTGCTCGGCTGATCCGGGGAAAACAACTTGAACTTGGACGTGTATAGGGCTGCAAAAACGAATCGATAAAAATCGATTGCTAAAAAAGTTGGCAACGAATTCAGTTATCGATTCGTTGGGTCTATGTTGTTACTCTCTGTTTGCGGAGCTGGCTACATTACTCGAAGAAAAAATAAACATTCGAAAAATGGCGGAGGCTGAGAGAAGCACGGTCCGACTAAAATCTTCAACAGCGTGGGAGCACTTCACTTTAAACAACAGTAAAAGGTGTGTTACCTGCAAACTGTGTAAAATCGAACTTGCATGGCACGGGAGCAACACAGTGATGCGGGAACATCTCAAACGTAAACATGTTGGAGCCATGATCAGCACAACCGTAACTTACGGTTACTAGAAACTAGACTGATGGCATGTATTGCGTTTCACATCAAGCTTCTCGTTTATCTAATATGGTTGTTTGCTCAATATTGCATGACAAGTAAGGGATAATGTGCAGCGAAGTGGTCATTGAAAAAAAAATAAAAACAACCGATCAAGATCCCTGCGCTTTGCGTCGGTCTCTGTGATCATACTGTCGGTGTTTGTTTTTTTTCAATAATGACCGGCTCGCTGCACATTATCCGGCTAATACACGGCCAAATACTAAACAAACTAACGACTAACTTGACTTATTTTAACTTATTTTAACTATGCCAATTTATTGATTCAGCTATTTCAAAGTCATTGCAAATTTGCAGAAAGTAGCCTACTGTAGGTTGGGTTGAGACACTGTGTGCTGTATTTAAGGAGTAAATAATAATAATAGTTTATAATGTATTATTATTTATAACGGCTCAGGTCCATTCAAGCAACCTTTTTTTTAGGTTAGTTATCATTGTTGATCATTTGAAAGAACATTGTTTTTGTTCGAGCAACCTAAAGAGACATATTTTTTGTTCAAAACAAGCTGTCGCTTTTGCATAAGTTTTATAGCCTACATTTGGGTTGTTTTTGTGTGTTGATGTTATGATAATGGAAAACCTTTTTTTTTGCGTGTTTTTTATCCGATTAATCGATTAATCGTAGAAATAATCGACAGATTAATCGATGATCAAAATAGTTGTTAGTTGCAGCCCTAGACGTGTATATTGTGTTGGTGCCTGGTGGAGTGTTCTTCATGTACATATCGGACTTAACTTACCGTCCATGAATGCGGTTTCTTCGGTAAGTGAAATTCAAGCACTTTATTTCTTACTGTTTGTATTGAGCTAACGTGAATGTTTAGACTTGGGTTAGCATTTGAACGAGAAGAAGCTACATAAGTGCTAACGATGCTATCCGTAGCATCCAAGTTAAAACATAATAGAGAAGTGTTAATCATTAAGAGGGATTGTACTGTAGAACAAAAGGCTTCTGTGTGAGGTTAGTAAAATAAGGTCATCCTCGTACATTAGAGAGTTAGTTTGCTCGTGAGTTAACGTTACCATCATATTAAACGAACGAACCCAAACTTTGTTGTTTTAATTAATTTGATTGCCAATGCTTACTATTTATTTTATTATAACACTCGAGAAACTGACTTATTGTGGCTGTAGATCGTGAACATGTAACTTAATGCCTGCATTTAAGGACGATGAATAGCGTAGTCAGGTCTTCAGGGACAAGGAAATGATTTGTTTAAATATTAGATATGACGTTATGTGTGCTTCAGTTAAAATGAAGCTTATACATTGCATTACATTTGTTCTTCCAAGTCAGTGAAATAAAAAGGACCCTGACTAGACTCAATCCAACATGTTCAACAGAAGAGAATAAGTTGTATTGTTTGCATGTACATCAGCTTGTAACCAACACATGTTACTTTACATATATCTTTGTTTTAAGTCTCCTCTAGGTGATCCAGACAGGCTGGACCATAGAGTGAGACAGAAGTGGACTTCACATACTCCAAGGTACAAATACCCTTTTTTCATACTGTACGAAGAATCAAGAAACATTTAAAAAATATGAAGTATTGACTATAATACACTGATATACATTCCATTAAACTTTACCTCATGCTAGATCACCTACACATCAATGAAGTTGAAGGTTCTTTGCATGCAAAAGGTTACATTTTAGATGCTAACAAGCAACATTACTTTTGTCAGCTTTCTTATTTCAATGTATTGAAGGAAAAAATGATTTAACACATAGTAAGAATTGCTACTATTTATCTCTTTATATTGTGTATATGTGGTAAAAGTGATTATTTCAGTGAGACAGCCGAACAGAGCAAGAAACTACAGTTGCACTAAGTTTTGATAAGTTAAATATTATTTTGATAATCAAATATATTTTAATGTTGATGAACTTCATACTGTTCATTCTAAACACACAAACACACCTCTTTCATAAATAAAACACTTGCTCTGCAATAATGTCATGTTTTATATTTCTTGTAATTTCTCTTAGGAAAGGACATGCCTGAAAGCCACGACTGCCTCACCACTGTCTCCTTCTCCGAGGGTCAAGAAGAACATCCACGAGGAAAATGAATCCTGGTCCTCCTCGCAGAGGAAATACCTCTCTACCTCAGTCCTCTCCGGCACAGACAGGACGTCCATCACACTGAGGTTTCTCCCTGAAGTCCCTGCAGCTCTCTGGACACCACACTGTCTCAATCCGTCCACACTGTGAATATGAGAGGGGAACAAATGAGTGTAACAAATGCTTAGACAATAAGAAATGTAAAGTTAGCTGTTGAGTTGCTCAGTCTTTTGAGATTGTCAATACTATTACTGCAAAATAATATCTCATGTCTGAAGGTTTAATTTAAAAGAAGTGTCACCTGAAAATAAAGATTGGTCTTTCAATACATTTTGTTGATTTTGACTTTTTGCTTCGGGCTTCACAGCAACTCTGCAGAAACTTATGGGTGACGTCACGGACACTACATCCATTTATATATACAGTCTATGCTCCTGCTTCATTAGTAATGTATCACCGTAAATCCTACTGTTTTATTAGATCACATTGATCAATATTTATACGACTCTTGTCCTCAGAAGACATTTCCTCCAACAGTAAAGTCATGATGATATACACACCTGCGTCTGCTGCTCCAGTTCACTAGCCTCCGCCATTGATTGCCAATAAAGTGCAGGTTCACGCTCTCGTATGTTATTAGATCTGGGAGGCGTGTGGCGCAGTGGATAGAGCGTTGGTGTTCGGATCAAGGGAGCACAGGTTCAGACCCCACTGCAGTCAGCATGTCGTTGTGTCCCTGGGCAAGACACTTCACCCCAAATTGCTCCTCTGGGGATTGCCCACAGTATTGAGTATGTAAGTCGCTTTGGATAAAAGCGTCTAACAAGTAACATGTAATGTAATGTAATGTAATCTGTGTGGCAGAGGGATTTAATCCACCAGTAAAAAGTGATACACATTTGAGTCTAATATATTTTTCCAAATGAACTACACTCTGACTCAAATCAGTTAATATGGTGGCTTTACCTTGAGTAGAAGATGCTCAATATGTGTTACATTACATAGTTGTTGTTTCGCCAATGTCTTTTGACAAATATTGTGAGCGTGAAAGTCCTAAAGAACAGCTTTTCAATACAAAAATAGAATACAAACACTGTTAACATTAACCTGTTTATATTTCTATTATCCAAACTGTTTACCTTACAGTATATTGTATATAATTTATTTGGGATTTTCACCCTAATGTTGTTATTATTATGTTGCACTTTCCCCCCCTTTTTTATTGCAACTGCTGCACATCAATGTCCCCAAGGGATAAACACAATATAATCTTACCATATCTTTTGTATTCCATAATATTAAGTGAAACCAATATCACCTTCATCTATTCCTGCAGAATCTACATCATTCATCTTCATCACAAAAAAAAGAGAACAGAAAAATCATCACATCAGACCATTTTCATTCTCTAAAGCAATACACTGCAGCACACGATACATTGAAATCTGTGAAGGCAGGTGCTTAAGAAGTGTTTCTGCGCCTGGTAAAAATCCATATCAGATGAAATTGTGGCAGCAGTAGATCATTGAATGTATTACTGGATTATTAAACGCTGTGCAGGTTCTTATCTTTCTGCTTTTTAAGCACCTGCTAAATAATTTTTCTCTATGTGGTTCAGGGCTTTCACTTAAATCAACTTTATGGGAAGATTAATAACAAACAATTTAAGTGCAATTTGATTGCAACCCATAAAACCCTAAATGACTATCTCTGCGTTGACAGCAACTACACGTGTGATTTCTATTGATTGAGTAATTTTAAACTGTATGTGTGTTGCTTTTGAATGAACTAAGACTGTGTGTTTGTGTATTGTTTTTTTTCTCCAGATTCCATCGGCCCTAAGTGCTCTCTCTGCCAGTTGGACGTCAGCAGCACAAGCTCTCGTGCACGGCTCCCTGCAGGACAGCTCACTCTGCTTGGGGACCCTCGTGCACCTGATGTTATGTACTTCTGTCTTTAGTGACGGCTACAGGTGTGTCTTAAGGCCTCGGCCATCATGGACACCAGTGAAACATTTGTACATATCTACAGTCAGCAGACCAGTAGTGTGTATAGCGCTCCGATTAGATTATTTATTGTAGATAGCAAAAACCTGCTAGTATGTTTGTTTTTGGTTCACTTCAGGATTTGTCTTGAGAAGTCCTAAGGGTTGAAATGATAACCCTCTTAGCAGTGAATGTGGCTTAATTGTACTCAATGGTTTGTGTATTGGCCGAGGTATGCCTTGTCATAAAGCTGCCAAATGTCCATATAAGGACATCCTCACAGAGCAGGAAACGGCAGTGATTGGGTGTGTGTGTGCTGATGTCAGTGCCTATGTCATAGATCAGAGGGAAGGAGAGGGCCTCTTGGCGCTGTATCTGAAATACTGCAGTTCAATTCATAGACATATTTAAAGTATATGGCCACTAGAGGGCATTATATCATAAGAGTTATAGACTGTGAGGATGAAGATGTGTATATAGATAAAGAATAATCTGCGAGTGTTATATTTATAATGGCTAAAGATGACGGGTTGCTCGGCACCTGAGGCCCTCACAGTGAAGTGCAATGGAAATGACTCCAGCTCTGGCCAATGGTAATCCCTCAGCAGTCCTCCTGATGATACACACTGATCATGTACCATCATATTTATTGTGTTGAGTATTTTAGTGCCTGGTCACAAAGTGCTCGACTTGCTGTTGGATCCACTTTAAGCTTTGACTCCAGTTTTTCATTTGTGGCTTTTAACTTGACCTCCAAAGAAAAAGCAGACATTTTAAATGTTGATCTTCTTATTTCAGTGATTTCATCTGGCAGATTCCCTTTGATGGTTTTATGAATAGAGGAACGATGCTTTCACCTCTGAAGCAAAGAACAGTCCTCTCAAAGAAGTACTTTATTTTCCATTTCCTCGAACATGCTTTTGCATTTAAGCTGTCAGCCCGCGGTAGATACGCAGGAGATTTCCTCACAAGTGGTCCTTTTTCAATCTTGTCCTTACATGCACCTTGTATCCAGCGCTGAAGATGTGTTTGATTCTATTTCAAACCAGAACATTTAAAGGTCCCATGTCATGGCCATTTCTACTGATCATATTTCCCATTGTTGAGGTCTACTAGAATAGATTTAAATTGTGCAATTTTCCAAACTCACATTGGTTTCTCATACAGCATCTCTGTATAGTACGTGTATTCACTCTCTGTCCTAAACGGCTTTTTGGAGCTCCTGCCCCCCCCCTCCCTGTGAGCCCAGTGTGCTGCTGCGAGGAGCGGACAGGTTTTCGGGTCGGCGATACAGCGAGAACAAGCGAAACTCATCCTGAGCACACACAAACACTCACAGCCGAAGTAAAAACAATAAGTGTGGCTTGATATTGAGTAAGAAAAAGGTTTATAACGCTGTGAGAATGGGTCTGCGGAGAGCATTTCTCCGCGATCCCAACTCGTCTATTACCAGCGTTCAGGGAGCTCTATGCAAGTGAATGGGGACTCCCTGTTAGTTAGCCAAGGGATCCTGGTGTGTGAGGTGCTCCGCGGATTGGTCCATTTGGGCCAATCCGGTCATTTGTTGTTGATTTGGGTGTTTACACGTCACAGTACCCAGGAAGCACACAATGGAAAATGAGAAATCTCCAACGAGGCGTTCTGGGGCAGCATAGACAGGTCTTTTCTGTCTTTAGAGTTTTACTCGCTACAGGGTGTACTTTGAGGGTTTGTGACTCTGCAGACCGTTCACATGCATACAAACCTTCATAACACACAAGGGGACGGGTAATAACCGGAAAAGCATGACATGGGCCCTTTTAAAGGAATTGTTTAACTTTGGGAAATAGACTAGAGCTGAAACAATTGATTCATTTTGCAAAACGTAATGTGCAAGTCATTTCAGTCAGATTTTAAGCAACACTGCCAAGAAATTGCTAGAGAGATTGTGATTTTCTTTTTTAACCCTAAACAACATCAAACTGAATACTGGTTGGTTTTTCAGTACTTTGCATCTTTTTCTGATGATTTATAGATGAAACATTTAATCATATTTCTTGAGAAAATAATCAGCAAATACATTGTCAGTCAAAATCATTGTTCCAGTGATGAAAGGCACTTGTTCACTTTCTTGCTTTGTGTTGGATAAGAAGATCGATTCCACTAGCATGTGATTAGCTTAGTTTAGCTTAGCATGAACACTGGGAGCAGGGGGGATGGTAAAGGTGATGGTAGACTTTTTTCTTTATCACAGAGCATGAGAGTGGTATTAATCTTCTCATCTAACTCCTGGCAAATAATGTGAATGTTAGCTTATCGCCAAATGTTAAACTATTCCTTTAATTTCACATTTAAGGTAAAATAAAATGTCTCTGTGTTGTAGTTATCTAAGCAGTCATTGTGGAGATTAGTAAACGGCTCTATGTATTATTAATGGGATTTCCTTTTGCACTCTTAAAAAGAAGACTGTCTTACATCTAAATTGATATTTAATGTGAGGAGTTTAAATATAAAGATGTCAAGCTGTTTATGCTTTAATGTTCCCCTTCGGTGCAATTTAAGATGTTCTGCTTAAGGTGTGTGTTGAAGCAAAATGCAAAAGCGGTCAATTAATAATGATTTTATTGTTGTGTGTGTGAAAGCCAGAATGTTTGCTGAGCCTACGCAAAAAGAAAGTTGGTGTAGAAACACAGATAATCTGAATTTATAACTTGCTCTCAGATGTATTTTAAGGAATAATTTGAGAAGAAAAACAAAACACACAAAAAGTGATTTTTCTCCCCAGCACATTGAACTGTCAAGGAGATATTTTTGCTGAATACTGATTGACAGATTAAGCTTGCTGACGTCCAAAGGCTTGTGTTCTCACAATAGACCACAGACCTCAACATGACCCGTCATTATTCACAATAGTAACTGAAAAGGACACATTTCTTCTTTGTGCTTCTGGATCTGTGCGGAGGTTGTCTCATGAAATGATGTACAGTGATGGAAAACAACCAACAGTATTCCTTCATGTCAATGCCTATGTTGTTATTTTGTACATAATGTATATCGAGCATGTGCATACATTGAAATCACTTTTACTACCAGTATGATACAATAGAACATGTACATGTGTTAAGCTCTGATTTTAATGGTCTTATGTTTTATTATCCCCAGACAATAATAATGAAATCAACAGTTCCCTTCATACAGAGAACAGTTCATTCAAGGACTGTCCTGTTACCAGACCTTCCTGTTTCCTAAATAGATCACTGACAAAATCATCTTTCACGGCTTATTTCCTAGTCTGTTCCATGTCCACTTCAACTTTAGTCAGCAGGTGCAGTGCAGTAGGTTTTTGATGGATGAAGACTCAGTTGAAAAGCAATTTATTATCCGTTCCGGACTTTAAGTTGGATTTATTTCTTCCGATAACCTTAGGTCACCTTGCACAAAGTAGGATATGAAAATGTAAACTACATTGGCTTGGGCACAGTCAATTTGGTTGTCTGCACATAGAGTGAAATTAGCTTCTTTATGTACCGTGTACTAATGCTGAGTCCGAACCGCAGAGGCGCGGGTTCGACTCCCACCCTCGACCCTTTGCTGCATATAGTCCCCTCCAAATCTCCCATACCTCTTTAGCTATGCTATATATAAAGGAAACAGCGTCCAGAAACATATCTTAAGAAAACTATATCAGCCTCTTGTGTATAAAGCTGAACATAATACAGCAAATACTGTAAACAAATAAATAACGCTTTAGATACAATCAAAAGTCTTACTTGGAAAGCTTCGATCCAGTCATGGCTTAGTAAACATGAATATGCTGCTTGCATCTGGTGTTGTCTATTTTATTACACAGGTGACTTTTTAATACCATGGAGTGCTGGTCTGGGCTGTCACCATATCTCTATTTAGGGGCCCTTTTTATTCTGTTCACCGATGCACACATCCATACTTTAGTATAGAATTAGGTATTGCGTCTAGTGTGGACGAGCATTGACAGATGGTTGAACCAGACAGTATTAATCACAAGGAGCGAGTCCTGTCAAACGTTTATGACTGCAGTCTGTCTCATCTCATCTTAAATGAAGCTGTAAGATAAACACAATTAACCTTATTGAGACCAAATCAAAGTGTTAGCACACCACACAGCGCTTGCATTGTTGATCATGTGAAATTAAAGATGCAAACAAACAATTCCTGCCATTAGATTTAAAAAAAAACTTCTCTAAAATTCCAGTTGAGGTGGTTTAAACACAGACATCAACAAACTTTTCCCAGGTGCTGCTGTTTATTTGCAGAACTACCACCAGTTCATGAAAATGTTTACATTTGAGGATGTCTGCTCTTGTGATGGTTCTTGAGGCTTCCTTTATCACATTCACAAATCAAATCAGAGAGCCATAATCTGACTGCCAAAAGCCTTTAATCGTCAACATGTTATTTTATCTTCATCATGTGCGATTCACAGGAAGGTGTAGTGATTTGCTGGAGATTCACAAGTGTCAGTCACAATGTTAAGCCTCCAATTTGAAAAACAGCCATTGAAATGCATTGATTTTTTCTTTTATGATCTGTGAAGTCAAAGGATGATGTCATACAGTATATCCCCAAAACAGCTATTGTTATGTCCAGACTGTATATTGTTTTTGTATATAAAGAATCATTGAAAAACATTGATTTTGTCAGCCTGTTTTTTTTCTTGTCACATGAGCAGTTTTACCTTTATCAATGAAGTAATAGAATACAGCACATGCAGGAGTGCACAATGTAGAGATGATTATGGAAATAATTTGTTTACAATCTTTTAACATTCACAAAGCCAATGTCAGATTTTTTTTTTATTGCATTGATCACTCTGCACTCCTTTTTAGAGCTAGGAGGCTACATTTCCTAATTCACTATTCAGAGACATGAAATGGAAAGACAGTGTCAGAAGGGTTTTTCTTTAAATACATCATTCCTAGCAGATTTCCTAAAATAATTAAAAAGGCAGCCAATCTTTTGGATTTCCACTTGTATCACAAGGACGGCTGTAAAACATCTTAAGAGCCTATTTAGAAACTCATTAGTGGAGCAATTAGTGTCAATTAAGCCTTTCTAGGGTATTAGATTTGTTTCTTTAATGAAGAAAGCCTTTAACTCAATCTCTTCTCATCACCTTCCATGTACTCAGTATTTGAATAATTGTGGAGGATGACACTGTAATTATCCTGAGAAATCTGCCTTGAACATTGCTGTGCCTTTTGGCTCTCATAACTTTCTCCCCAAAGAGAGGAGACGCATATGGATTTTCTTTTCCGCCAAGGAAGCTGTCTGGCTCAGAGGAATATGGAGTGTTGTTCAGTCTACCACTTTGGTCCAGAGAGAAACTGTTGGAGAGAAGTTCATTGTTCCAGAAGGATGAACCCCTAAACATGAAACGTGATCCTCTAAACTTTCATCCAGTGTCATCACAAAAACTACATGTGGAGTAAAATACTTTCACTATTATACATTTCATGATTTATTGTACAAAAATGTTCAACAAACACCAATCATGTAAAAAAAAATGTATTTGTGCAATCCTTTGACTGAAAACCTGCAAAACGAATGACTTTCTCCTATAAATAGCTTTTTAGCATAGCTTGACATGCTTTACATCCAGTGCAAATTAGCAAATGCTAGCTAAACCTGCTACTTACTTTCTACTTGAATTTGTACGTCTGTAAATTCTTAAATGCTTGAAATACAATTTGCACTCCTTTTTATAATAGTGTTCTATTCTCTTTGTCTCTATACTTTGCTGTAACACCGTTCATTTCCCCTTTGTGGGACGAATAAAGGAATTCTGATAAGACACGTTGAATCTTGTCATTGTTAGCATCCGTTAGCATTTAGCTCAAAGCACTTGTGTGTTTCTGTACAGCCTCACAGAGCCCAGGCATGTCTGTAGATTCTTGTGTTAATGATTTATAGTCTTTCTTTATGTCACATTGATAAATGTCATGTATCCAATTACACTGTCTGCCGCAGTTAAAACAACATAAAGATAATTAATTTAGTCTGCTCATGCTTCTCCACTTGTCTTTTCGCCCTTGTGGCTGAGTATATTGAAAATAAAATAATCAAATATTTTTCAAGCTGTTATACACATCAATTGAATATGACTTATGCAAAATAAGACAATTCCAGTCACTAATAGTAATAGCTGCTTCCAAAACAGGGACTCATTAATTCAAATGTGTTTTCAGCAAACCAATTTGCGTATACAATGTGACAGGACTGAGACTCTATTCTGCTGTGCCATTAAAACTACATTTTCCTAAATAGATTGTGAGGTCCCATACTGCTTGGCATCTTAAGCGTATGCTGCAGACAGCTCCGAACCTATTTCGGTTTGTATGGGAGCAGCATCTATGACCATTAAAGTATCAAAGTACCAGCAGCCTATCTATTCAGTCTCATTCAGAGGACGAGTCGGAGCCTGCCAGCTTTTTAAGAGCATTCAGTCGTAATGGAGTTGGTTCTGAAGAAGAAAATGGAAGAGATTGAAGGAGACAAGAGACAGGGAGATTGGTAAAGAGAGGTGGTAGGAAATCAGAGTCAAAGACTTGAATTGCCAGCAGGGATATTTAACTTATCTGGTAACCTGCTGGCTTTGGAATTGATTTTACAGAACATAGTGCTACCGTGTGTCAATGACAGAAAACGTGTTGATTAAAGTTATTACTTTTCTCACCTGAACACACTATTCCCTTAAATCCTCAACTTTATCTTGGCTGTAAAGTGTATCTCGGTGCTGTTTACCGACCTGAACTCTGCACATAGACCTTAAATCCAAACTGGGCTCTTTTTTTTATAAAGTAATAAACAGCCAATCTCCTCCAAAAGTGTCCTCTTTTAATCCCCCAAGAGTCAGAAGCTGCAAAAAAAAAACACACACACACACACACACACACACACACACACACACACACACACACACACACACACACACACACACACACACACACACACACACACACACACACACACACACACACACACACACACACACACACACACACACACACACACACACACACCCAAGGTAATGAAGTTCCCCAGGCAGAGTGGAAAGGCAGTTTGGTCTCTGGCACACTGCCTGGTGATCTCGACTGTAATGCAGGACTTCTACTCGACTGGAAAATGGAGTGGATATAAATCATCAGTTAAATATCACACAAGGTAACAAAAAGTGTGTTATTAAAAGGTCTTTCCCACCCAGTCTTATTGCAGTCATTGCCCTCATCCAATTCCTTGCATTATTTGCATAAAATGCATGAAAGGTTGGCTTTTAACATTCCCTGCTTGTGTAATGAAAAGGATAGCCCTATAAGAAGCGAGGGTGATAACCATTATTTTGCAAAACCGGATAAAACCGGATTTGTCATCGCACATATGAGACGTGCGATGAAAAATCCGGTCATCGCATCAATGTAGGTTTTATCAGACACATCCAGCATCCATTAGCTTCTCTCCTCTGTGCGTCACTATTCTATCCCTTTTTGCATTTTAGTCTGCATTCTTCACAGAAAATATTCATGTGTTCTTTCCCCACTGAAGAGTCCATTACTTGTGTTTGTTATCTCGGGTATTTCCACTCTACTGGCAAGCATCTGTATCATCAAAGATGGAGAAGGAAACAGAAAGGGATGTTATGGTAGGAGGGGTTGAAGAAGAACAGAAGATGAGAGTAGAGAGCTTGGAGAAGAACAATGGAGAAGGAAGGTTAAGGCAGATAGACGGAGAAAACAGGTGGGTGGTATAGAAGGTCAGAGATAATTGGATTGTGGGAACATTCATATTTGACAAGGGTGAATGTACTTCCTGGACCTTTTCAACCGATGTCTTGTGTAATCAGAGAGCGCAAACAAGACGCTCACATCAGCACGAACACAGAGTGGTTAAAAGATGCCTATCACTGTTTCAACGACTATTACAAATGCAAACATGCACCAATGCCCATGAATGTATTGTTCTAACTATGGCTTTTAAAGGGTCATGTGAGTGGATGACATTAATTGCTTGAACCATAAAGAAGCTGTGGGGTCCTGAGTGTTCACAGAGGGGGGTGATAATGAACTGCTATGTGAGAGGAGATCGATCCAGTGGGTGTTGGGCTGTGAGGTAGTACAGTTAGACTACTTCAAATTGAGCATTTCATTATTGGCAGTGTTGGAAGAAGTACGTGAAATACTGTGTATAGGTTAGTAGTACAGTACTGCATTATGCCATATCAGCTTATCATGTGTTTTTATATAAGTACAAAAATAACGGAGTGTTAAAATAGATGTAGTGGAGTAAACAAATATATTATTTGCCTAAAAAATGAAGTATTAAGTGGCATTAAATGGAAATACTCAAGTAAAGGATATGTACAAATGTCAAAAAAAGTAGATATACTTAATTACTTTCAACCACGGCTTATTCATAGTTTACGGGTGTGTTTGGGTCATAACTCCAAAAGCAGAAGGATGAAAAAACTATGATGAGAATGAAATGTTTAGCCACATTTCTTCTGGCTCATGTTTTCTTTACAGCTGCTGTACTATTCTTCTAGTTTTATTCCTTTTTTTAATTTTGTAGATTTAGATCAACACCTTCATAACCGGAGTAGAAATGGAAGTATAACGCATTTCAAGCACACACTGAGGGAAAACAAAAGAACATTTGATTCCATTATTATTAGGGTCCATCCATCAGCTAGTGGCCCTAATGGGTATTCAACAACGTTATAGCTGCATTTGACATGTGATCATTAAGTTCCAGGAATTGCAAACAGTTTTACTTTCAAATATAGGATGTGTATTATGATTGTATTAAACTTTTTTATTTCCCTGCAGTGTTGAAGTCTTTGTGAAGTGACTATAAATACAGTGCAGGACAAAATATTTATGGTCGTTGTAAGGTCTCCAGAAGGAATAAACAACACTGAACGAGCGGTTTCACCTACTCTGCCCCTTACCCTCTGCTGCAGGAAAAAACATTATACACCGTTTTTATTGCTTTTGGTACAGAAATATATCACATACCACAGAAACATTTCTTACCACTGTAAAATGCACCTTGTGAGTTCTTTCTCAGGCTGAAAGCTGCAGGGGTGAGAAATTGAGACGTGTTTCTGATACAATCATTTCTTCTTGTTTATTTATCAGTGGTTCAACACAATATTTTCCCCTGAACAACATGCAAATAAAAGAAAGGTGTGCAGAAAGGTCTCTGTCAGAGTGCTTCACTTACTGAGTGCATGTTGTGTCAGTGAGAGCCTATAATTAAAGTACACCCACCTGCAAGCCACATTCCCATTAAAAAGTCCATCTCCACTGATGTCGCTGGAAACTGAGGCGTCTCTTTATGTGAGTGTTTAATGTGGGAGTGTGGCGGCACACAGACAGACCTCTCGCTGCTTTCATGCCTGACTTGGCAGCACTGACTTCACGACTCTCACAGTGTGGACAGATGGCAAGGACTTACCCCACTAAGCAACCCTCCAACAAACACACTCACAGACGAGATGCACCACACAGGAACTTCCTTGGCACCCACTGACTTGTCTCTCAATCCAACAATGAGTCATGCATAGCATCCTCTCCAAAGTAAGGTTCTGTGTTTGTGTGTGAATGTAGCCCGCAGTATGCTTTGATGATTCACCTGAAGTCAGCGAGACAAACCTCGGCCCCTGCTGCTCTTTTCTGGCCACGCAGCGGACCTCAGTATAAACAAGAGTCATTGTACCGACTGCAACTTCAAACATCTATTATATTTCAACAACCCTGAGGCCATTTGCATTATAACAGCCTTCTCTCATGACTGGTAGCATATTAAACTCCTGTTCAAAGGGACTGATTCAAATTCAACACTGAACCGATTTTCTTCTTTCACGCTGCGACTGCTCAAACAGAAGATAATTTGCACTTTGGGATCTAATTGCTATCACTTGCTCTACAGATATGTAAATTCAGAGTACGAGACCAGGCAATGAGAAGCTCTATTTACCACTGACATCGTATATAATCAGCCGTCTCTTCAAATTACGTTCCTTGAAAATTGTTTCTGGATTTGAGTGACATAAGAATCTCCATGGAAATAAACAATCGCATGTTTATCACGTTGCAACTTCAGATTGCAATCAGAAATATAATGACAACGCATGTCAGGATGTGTGTTTATGTCATGCACAGCTGATCTGTGGGCACTACCGTGTGGGTGGATGATTGGGTACAGAAAATGTGAGACTGTGTAGGTGGGCAATTTGAAAGTCTGAGTTTATACTTGCATGTATCATATGAACATGTATAAAGACAATGCCTTTATGTTTCAAAATAAGAAATAGTTTTCAACAGTGGCTGACTAACACTTTTCAGTCCCACTTTAATACATAATTTGACATGTGTCAATGTTTTTTCTGAGTATAATTATTTCCCATTCTTTTAAATTCATGAGATGGAATAAAACATATCTTATTTAAACCATACCATATATGCAAATGCCTCCAATCAGGACATGAGAGGTCACTTAAGGATTAAATTGGTATGATTATGTGTTGAATCGGAGTGGAAATGTTAACACAGCTGAAGATGAGTTTGCTACACCACCATCATATTCAGAATGAGGCAATATCTTTGAGCAGATAGAGTTTATCCCTTCTATTGCATTACAGAGACTTGAGAAAGCTGAACCAAGGAGCATTGAATCTGTGGCCGTTTCTCAATGTCGAGGAGGCTTGCTTGGTAGCACATGTATGCTGGGCATTTAAACAGTGATTCGGCGCCACTCGATGACGTAGTATGCTTGAAATAGTGGCTCTGTAGCAGCTTTACTCGACATTGAGAAACGGCCCGTTGCTTCCTCATGGTGGCCCAACACTGAACCAAGTCCCTTTTTGTTTTTCCAATTTGAATTTGTCACCGATCTGTATATAGTGTGGGTATTGACATTTTGACGAGAAGAAAAATAAGTTACTACATTTTAAAGCGTAATGGATTTTAATCAAATCAAAACAGACGTTTATATTAGTTAATACAAATATCCAACAGATGATGTTACACCAATTTGTTATGTTATCTTCCTTAATACATGTTTACATTTTGGAGCCATTTCCTAATGATTTCACCCTTGGAACAAAACTCTCTTACAGTTGCATGTGGTATTAAAACATGTGTTTCAGTGATAGAGTCCGGATGTAAGAAAAACTAAGACCGTTGTCCAGGTATCTGTGTTGTGTAAATGGACAATTGATTCAGTCTTGGCAGGGTCATACAGGGTTAAGTTGATGATCAGACATTTTAGAAGAGGACAAAATAAAATGTGTTTAGCAGAAAAAACCGAGTAGAAAATATTCGCAGCTCACTCCAGGGTAATCTATGCATCATCAGGTTTATCTGATGGAGGTCCACATGGTTGAAGCATCTTCTCCATCAGATTGAAGCGAACGCGAGCTTTGCTCTCGTTCTCAGCCACGGAGAAGTAGTTGAGCAGGTCGAAGTGTCCCATGTAGGAGCAGTAAGAGTCACGGTGCTGGTTCACCAGCCACTCCCACTTGCTGGTGTCAGCGTGTCCTGTGCCGATGTACTTAGACTGAAGATGTTCCAGTTGACTGTGGATGTTGTATCTGTCCGTCATTCTTGCTGAGAGGAGAGTCCCAGAGGCTAAGACAAAAGTCAAATTAAATGTTACTATAAATGTTCATGCAGAGGCCAAAATATAACATCAAAGTCATAATGCAAGTACAATTATGTATCTGAAACAATCAAAGTGATTTTCCATACTTATTAACAGTTGCTTCCACTTCTAGTCTCACATATTTTTGCCGATACAGGTTATTTTGAAGAATAATTTGTTATATATACACAATTAAATATATATATATCTTTTTATACCTAAAAATAAGTGTTATTTCCTCAATTACATGTAATGTGAAAACTACTATAATGTAATCTTTTTAACACAAATGCTCTCGATAATTCACGTAAAAACAACCGCGTATATGTAATTGCGTCATTACATGCTCCATATAACCGTAAAAGTACAAAAGTAAATAGCTTCCTCGCGTCGAATACATTTGCACCACTTCCACAAAGAAGCAGTTAGCATGCTAACGTTGTTTTCAATGTATTTGTGGCTAACAGTAACGTGATGTTAGCTAGTTGTTGTTAGCCACCATACAAGTCTCTTTAACGGTAAATCAACCGAACGTTTTGTAAAAATAAAGGATTCTTAGTAATGACATGTCTCTAAAACGCAACATATACTTACTTGATAGTATTAAACAGTGTAGGAGCAAAGGTAACAGATGTTCGTTATGTTAAAGTCCGTCCTCACTTCGTTGAAATGGTGAAGCCTTCTGGTAGGGTGTCCCTGTAAAACGGACCGGTAAGAAACACAGGTCGAAACCTTCGTTCCGCTTCTCAATTACAGATTCAAATTATTTGGAAACTTTCTGACACGCTGTTTCTTTGGCAACCCCCCCCCCCCCCCCCCCCCCCACATGTAAGTTTAACATTTTATTTGCACACGAGCAAGTTTAAAATGTTGGTGATTAAGTGTGCTTTTGGTAACAAACAAGAATATGTGTAAGTCTCTATACAGGCTGCAAGGTGTATCTGAGACCCTCGTTGGACCATTATCTTCAGGTAGGCTAACTTTATTAGCTATTTTATAACTGTTATTAATAATTTGAGTTGCTACATTTCCTGCCATTAGTTAAGTGCTGACTGAGCTACGGTTAATAGCTTTAGCTGTATGCATGCATATGTAAAGAGATTGACTGTATGAGGCTAATGTGTTGCTAATACAACATTTAAGGTAACCCCATGTGTCACCTGCTAGTATTGCTTAAATTGTAAACACAGTTTCTAATATCCTTTTATCAAGCCACTGCCTGTATCTTCTGAGATGACATTTAAAACAAATTAATATCACAAGCAAACCTTTTCTCAAGGATTTCCCCTAATGTTGCAGAATAGCTTGAAAAAAGCTTATTTTGTATTTATTAAGCACATTTGATCTTTATTATAATAACTCTATTGATGTTTGTTTGTGTAGTTGTTGTTCATCCTGCTTATAAAGTTCATTCAACCCCTAAGCTCCATAATGCAGAAAAAGCAGCTTTTTTAAATTAGGGTTATCAGTGAGTATTTGTATATCTTATTTTTGTTATAGCCAAAATCTCATTTCCAACCCCAGTCCCTTGATGGAAACACATTGCACTTTGGATAATTAATTTCCTGGCTCTAGCACAGGTTATTTTCTTTTTCGATTTAAAGTTTCTTTTATTAGTTTGTTGCTTGTTGACCTGTGTCCACTCCATTTTCATTAGAAGCAGGAGTGCAATTGTCATATAAATAGTCAGTTGTAGTGCTGTCCCTCAGCAGATAACATCCACTGGGTCTGACTATCCTATCAGCACAGATATGGTACATAAGCCTCATACATAAAACATTATCGTTTTTTTGCCACCTTACGCAGGAACGTTACTGCTTTTCCCCCCACCAGAGCCACTGTGGAAGATTTACAGCTATTTTTCATGTTGTGGCAATGTGTTCATGGAAAATGAACTCCTTGTAAATGCTTCCTATCCCAATAGATAGATAAGGAGGCAATTGCCTGAGTATTTATAAGTTATGGTACATATGGGAAAGGGGTTAATTAACCTAAGATGTGGGTGGTATTGTTTCTGTTTTTAATCCAGCATTCAATAAACATGCTGTAAGCTTGACGCTATTGTCAGAAGTTAAGGTATATAGAGAAAAGATCCATCTTGATGTAAGATCACATCATTGAGATTCACTTTAATATATGATTGAACTATAGACAGCACACCTATTCAAGTAATCCTTTGGAGACTGCTTCTCATGACTATTAATAGTCTGTACGCGCTCTGTAGAATAATACCTGAGGAGATATCTTGGTATGAAGGATAATGGTAATAAGAGAGGAAGGTCCATTTATCACACTTCTGCAGACTTCTCCTACAGAGGTGGAAATGACTTTTCTGTGGAGCACATCCTGACAGAAGCTGCTGGGGTCAAAAACACTTTAACTGTGGTGGGGATGGTTTATTTTCATTATTTCATCAAAGAGAAAAAAGTGAGAATGCCGAGAGGAGATTGTAAGCGTTGATTGGTTTTCATTCCTTTATTTTTCTGGCATAGTGCAGTGTATTCAATCTTTTAGTGTGAAATAGGAAAAGTAAGGACTTCAATGCGTTTTGAGGGATACAGTGAGAAGGTCTCCATCTGGCTGAATGCACAATGAGGGCAGCAGTTGGGAAAAAGATTTTAGATTTACATCAGAATGAGAATACAAATGACTTTATATGATGTCATGAGACCTCTCACATCCATTTGAAGGAGAACTGACTTTGAAGAGGGAACAATTAGATGCGCACTCTATACAGCCTGTTCAATTATTCTACTCCTTTCTCATTATCTCCATGTGTGTTTGATCGTGACCAATGTTATCATCATTATTTTTAAATAACATCCCACAAAAATGTGATAGTAAAACAATAAATGAAGAATTGTCCATACTGAAGAGTTAGAGGCTCATACCGTATATGCAGACGTTTATAGTCTCATGATTTACCCCAAAAGACCAAATTCCACAATTCCCATAATGCAACTCAATCTCCTAACCTCCATGACCCAATTTATGATTCAGGCCGTCGTTTCAAAAAGTGTTGCATTTTATAACTTTTAGGACGTTAAACAATGGTTAACAAGCTAATTAGTAGTCCTTCATGACGAGTAAACCGTTGCTCATGCGAAAATCAGTTGAGACAAATGCACAGAAGAGGGCTTCTCTATCTTAAGTTTAAATAATTTAGCATCTTAGCACACAACAGAAAATATGTTATTCAACCTGGTTATACAAGACTATTATCTGTATCCATTCAGCTCCACTTACAGTAGTTGAAGCATACAAGCATACAAGTGGAATTAGAGATGTCCCGATCCGATCACGTGATCGGGGATCGGAGCCGATCACGTGATTTTCAAAAGATCGGAATCGGGAGAAAAAAATCGGGGATCGGGATTTTAATTTTTTAATTAATTTTTTTATAATTTTTTTAAATGTATTTAATGTTACAAAACAAAAATGACCATGTTCACGTAAAGTCATCCTGAGGCCTTAGTTTTGGTTTAAAATTACACAACATCATGTATGTGTTGCTTCTTTTGGGCTTGTTTTCATAGACCTGGTTGCTTATTTCTCTCAAATCTGGCAACAGAGTGGGCGCAGTGTCTAATAGTAGCAGTAAGCTAACAAGAGGCTACGTTCAGCTGGTGCCTCGGGAGTCGGGACAGAGAAAATGTCAGGAGTTTGGAAGTATTATAAAATTGAAAGCGAAGGCAGTGTAACAGCCAGATGCAATGTTTGCAAGGCGGAGGTTCCGCGTGGTGGAAAGAACAGAGCTACGTTCAACATGACCAATCTAATACAAACACCACCAACAACAACACGACGAGTACACAGCGGCCACTCAGGTAACGGCACTGAAACAACCGACACTTTCAGAGACTTTTAAAAGGAAAGAGAAACTGCCCCAGAACAGTGAAAAGGCCAAAAAAAAAACAGCCAAGATAGCTGAATTCATCGCGTTGGATGACCAGCCGTTATCTGTTACCTTTTTTTTCTCTTAATGCATTGCATAAAGATCGGATCGGGAAAAATCGCTATCGGCAGATTGTCAAAATCAAATGATCGGAATCGGATCGGGAGCAAAAAAAGGTGATCGGGACATCCCTAAGTGGAATACCTTGTCCTAGTTTTTGTGGAGTGAGGACTGTGTTTACAGAGGTTGTATTATATTATAATGCCATTTAGAAAGGTACACAAGTGTGCACTAGCTCCAGAGTCTGAAGATGCTCTTCAAATACAGGATACCAGTATCTAATGCATTAAAGTATCACTAATGTGTTTATTGAGTACACATCTCATTTTTACCTATAGGGACATGTGTGCATGAGTCACACGTGGAAAGACTTTCATTTAAATGGTTGTCCTTTCCCCTTTTGCACTCGGTTAGATATGTAGTTTCTTCTCATTCTTGTTGAGGTACATCTATGGTAATATAATAGTCACAGGGGCATGATAATCAAATGTTCATAGCCAATCTTTCTGCAGACCTGGGAACTGCAAAGCACTTACGGGAGAGGAGGGTAATGAAATCAGGTGGATGGATGGGAATATTGCCTGACTGGAATGCTCCTGTGCCCCACAGTCCTGCTGAGTAATCGCCCAGTAAAAAATGGAGTCAGCGATACGTCCAGTGATTTAAATCAAATGCCTAAAGATCAACCACCAGGCTTAAGGGGGAAGAAGCCATAAGAAACGACACCCTGCTGGGTTGTTACGGTGATGGCTGGTTAGTCGACAGACAAACCGAGGCGTCTCATTTGTCAGCTGTCGAACTGCAGGCTTTTGCTGGGTGGCTGGTTTATTGGCGGACAAAGTAATGATCAGCGTTACAGGACTCAGTGGTCATTTGTTTGCTGGTTCATTAGCTCGACCAGCTGACATGGTTTGTTGTTTTGGCTGAGGCAACCTCCCGACTGTTTTTCCCTGAACAGCCCAAGGCTTTTTATTTTCCAAACACACCTGAGATTTTCTCGTCAGTGTCCACTTTTCATCCTCCCGACACGCTGTGAAGCACAACACCAAAACACAATGTTCCTCATTCTGATGATGTCAGCTAGTACGCCATTCATCAAGCTGTGAAATAGCCTGAGGAAACTGCCGCTCTTTGACAGTGCGAAGTTTCAAGCTCAAAGCCAATTGGATTTGGCATGGTTCTAAACATACAATCTCTTACATTTGCCGTTTAATAATAATAGCTTGCATTTATATAGCGCCTTTCAAGGGACCCAAGGTCGTTTAGGGTTTCATAAAGGATTTATGTCTTTTTGCTGTTAAAAAGTCATTACTTTTTCCATTTTTCAAACAAGCTACGAACAGTAAAGAGCCTGTGGTTTAGGTTATGACCTGAGAAAATCCATAAGCGGCGTCAAAGATACAACGAGACTCTAGTCTTTGGCGATATCCTTGGAGCCTTCAGAGCGTAACAGCAATGTACAGTATGAAGCAGATTAGTACAAGGTCTTCAGTACTGCTATATTTTCTCAATTGAGTAGTAAGCACATTTCCTTTTAAGTACAGATACAGAGCTGAAGAGCATTATCTAGTATATGCCTGTGGCAGATACTCAATAAACATGAGTTCCAGGATGTACAAAACATGCACTTTTAATCGTTGATATCACATCTTAATATGTATGTGCAGAATAACTGTATTTAAATGCATCGCTTGAGATCATTAAATGAGTTCAATGTATAGAAAATCTTTAAGTTAGCAGGTGATCCTATAAACAGCATGTTGCAGTAGGGGAAATAAATGAGCCACAGTATTACATTTCTGTAAATGCGAAATGTTTCTAAATCTTCTGATAAAGAGCCTTATCATTCTCCATAAAAATGAATGAGAATTCCTCGCCATTTAACTTATGTTTGGGTGAATAGCTTTCCGTACAGACAAGGGCATCCTCACAACATGACGTCTGAACGAGCGCTCCTTCTCTGCAGAAAGAGGGGACATTCAACTCCGCTTGATATTAATCGCTATGACAGGAATAATCATGCTGCCAACTCCAATAACATAATGCCTGGCTCCCTGACAGCCCTGTACATGACAGGATAGAGTTTAGTGCATGTGTGCAGACATGCATGACGCAAACACGCCCACGCCCTCTACAAACCGCACTGATGACGTTTTCTCACACAGACACCAGTGTAAACAGCTCATGCACACTACACATGCATGCTTACACGTTGACACCGCAGTGACCTGGCAACATGTCTGGGATTGATAATGGTCACACAACACATTTTTATGTTAGACATTTTGCAACAACAGCTCCAACTTTACTTCATTTTGGGAAATCATTTTATTTTAGAAAGCAGCAAAGCTTACTTCTTTGCAATCAATGCATCCCGGTGTGAAATCATAAAAACACCTGAAACAGCTTTCAGTCCTTTCCATTACCTCATTCACTTCCCCTCGACACCGGGTAATACATACGTAGTGCCATATGTCAAGGGAGTGGCCTCTTGCTGAGCGACGGGGCAGGATCGGACTCTCAATGAAACACACCTGCTATAAAACGAGCATTCAAAAACTGAGAATAATACTTTAAGATTTAGAATAGGGAGGAGCAAAGGACGGCAGATGACTCACTTTTTAAAACATAAAATTAAAAGTTTGTAGGGTCTTATGTAGAATGTATTTGTTATAATATACCTTATGCAGTCTAGCATTGTGCAGAAAATACAGAATTTAAAATATGCCCTTTGAATCTACATTTTGGTTCCCTCAGCCCTTGACCTGTCAATCTTACAGAAGTCCACTTTTTCAATTGTCACTGACATGGAGGACATTTATCTTTGCTCACACATTTAGGTGTACTAGTTCCAGTGCCCTGCATGCTGGCTTACTGGAATACGGGGGAGTTAACCCTTTTATAGGGCACTATTAGGTTAACCCGCTTCAGGCCTCTGCTGATTGGTCAAATTCCCCAATGGCGTACTCTGTGGCGTAGAGTGATCTTCGCTGATCTTCGGCTGGGAGAAAACCACATGCTTCTCGACCTCACTGAGTCGCGGGGGGGACGCCATGTTTGGTGTGTGCAGAAGTTACCAAATATAGTTCCTCGCCAGATAAAGGGTTAAAGGGCCCTATTATGTTGCATGTAAATGGTCTGCAAATGAAAATATCCCAAAACTCCCTCCAGAGCACCTGCTCCCCGTGCCTGAAACGCTTCCATTGTACTCCTTTGTTTACTTCCTCTACATAATGACATCACTAAGTAACACTCCCGCTTCTATTGGCTAGCGCTCAAACACATTATACGTGATAAGCGTAGGGGCGGGATATCTTCGAGCGGTTGACGAATCACAACAGAGCCGGCCAGCTAACCAATCAGAGCAGCCTGCTCTCATGTTTCAGACAGAGGGTGGAAAGAGGTGCTGCATCAAAGGCAGTGCATGGAAACATGTCAGAGTAGACGCACAAAATACAAACCAATAATGTACGAACCTGAAAATGAGCATATAGGGACCCTTTAAAATAGAAGAGAGCTGGCTTTAATGTTATGTGTCACAGCTGTGCTTTTACTGCATTTACAATTTAAGTTCCTGCTTTGATATTTTAATCCTCTGCCAGATAAAGTTACCTACTGTACACTGAGCCGACTCAGCACTTTGTGGCTGAAATATGGCATATTAGGCAGTCGCTTTACAACAATCATATGGGGTTAAATTAAGAAGTGATTGATGGGGAAAAGCTCCAGCTTAAAATTGATGGTCCGCCCTGGGAGGACAACCTCACAAATCATTTTTATTGTTTGTTATTTGTACTACTGAGTGTGCAGTGAGGAAAGCTGTGTTGTGTTTCAGGAAGATGTAGTTGTACTGAATGAAAGAAGAACAGACTACAATGTAGATGATACTTTATTCAGATGCAAGAAAAAAGGCATTCAGTGAGATTCAGAAATACATTTATTCCATAGACAATGCACTGATTAACAGTTAGATTGTGTGTTTTGTTTACCATAGTGTTGTACATATAGAATAAATTGTCTTTTTTACATTAACATACAATAAATGCCATTTTAAGACAAGTTATGATTCACAAGCCATGTTAACAAGTACATGATAAAAAAAGAGTTTAATAGTGGTGTCTGTACAGATCATGGAAAGCATCAAATACATTTTATTTAAATTCATCTTCAAGAATATATCCTTCATGGGGGATGCTTGTTTTAATAGTACAAATGTATTTTTCTTCTGGAAAATGTATATTAATCTCTTCATCACTTGATGAATAAATACCATTTATTTAGGATGAGGTTATGCTGCACCTTTCAAACTTGTGCTCAACTTCAAACAGACGTAGATGTTTAAAAGAAATCTCATATGTTATCAGCTGTAGTTAGCTAGTTAATGTTAAACAATGGGCTGGTTAAAAACATCCATTTTAATACAAGAAACCTGTAAAAGGGGACCTGAATGTAAAATATTTGCTACATCATGATAATGTACTGAAAGACAGAAGCTGAAACTGTATGTCTTCTGGAAAAATATTCTGCGTATGTTTACTTTTTAAACTTATGCTACATATTTCATAATTCTTAACTCATTCAATAACATTAAAAGGTGACACTAGGCTCCTATACATGTTTTTGTACACATCTTTTATGTGAAACAAAATGTACATTTTGTCGCACTTAAATACTCAATACAAGACTCAGCTGCTGTTTTGTAATATACCAATCTCTAACAGTTAGGCCACATGGGTTTTAACAGTTTCTTCTTTGTTGTAGCTCATGGCTTGATGACTGAAAATAATTATTTAGTTTAGTTTTTTTATTCACTGAAAGCAGCAATACCAAATATAGACCTGTATGTACAGAGAAACATCCTCTCATAGGTTTTCAGTCAAAAAGATTTACACACGTTTTCTGATTAATGTACATTTCTTCAGTAACATGGCTGATTCAATATGACAAAATGTACATTTAAAAGCACAGCAACTTTCTCGTCCACCATGATCATCACAAAATCCTTTCTTTGCAACCTCATGATGTCATGTTTATAAAAAAAAAAAGCAACATAATACTTACAGTATGTTACATGGGAGATAAGTTAAATACAATCAAGTTCATCTTCATTAAAAAAATACTGGCACACAGAATATCGAGTAGAGCTACTGTAAAGGCAACAGGCAAGAGAAGCATACAGCACAACACATAAGCACAAGCAATTTCAAATATTACGGCGAAATGTACAATCCTGCTTGGCTCACTTATTAACTTCTTTAATCGGGAGAAGACTCCATTAAACCCATACCTTGTGTAATGGCTGTAGTTAATGATACACTAGTGGTACCATGTGTTCGCCCTTTATGCTCCAGCAGCTCTGTGCTGTGCAAACAGGCTTAATGCATGGTCTTTGCTGGTTTGGAGGATCCACAGTTCAGGACGCAGTGTGATAAACACAGCTGTTTTCTTTCATTCTGTACATTCAGAGGTTAGTACAGTTCAGCAGAACTTCAGTCTGCTTATGGATAAGTCCAGAAAAAGGGTATAATACTTCTTTACAGGGACTCTATCAAAATAGAAGAAGGACAGAATGAACACTGAGGGGGGCTTGATGGACAACACAAGGTTAGCTGTGTCGAGAGGCGGGAGCACAGTTTCATGTCAACACGGTCGATCGTCCTGAAGTGGCCAAAGCCAGCGTGTTACTGTGCAGATCAATGAATGGAGAACAGTGTCAATACGGTGGAAGCCATACAGAATGGATAGAAAGAACAGCTGGTGGAGTAAATGAACTGAAAAATACCTCCTGACTGGTGATGTATTTGTGTGGTGAGGGATCCGTGAAGCCTTTGAGCTTTTGATAACACAAGTCCAAAATCAGATTAGATCCATTATTGTCCAGTGACTCCTATAAATCAACATTTACACTCTCGAACGTACTAACAATTCAAGGAGAAAACATCTGGAGAAAAGAATGACAGATTGGAGGGAAGTCATTTGTTCTCTGCAAACAAGACAAATCATAGATTATTTTTACAACCTAGACAATTAGCGGTAGGATGAGAGGAGGATTAAATCGATGGCGAAGCTTTGTCTGGAGCATACAGAACAAAATCATTTATGTTTCTCGTGTGGGTGGCTTTTAATAAATACAGCTGTCTTTGTTCACTGCACATCTTCATTCGGTACAGTCTATATTATCATAGTGATAATGAAAACTTAAATAGCGTTGACTGCAATTGAGTGCAAAAGCTTCTTCAGTTAGGAGTCGCACTGTAATTACTTTCTGTCTATCTCAAACCCATTTCTTAATCAGTTTTAGAGTAAAGGCCTTGCACAGCCATGCACTTAGTAAGAATTGGGCTGCTCGACAAAAGGGCTTTGCTATCGAGTCTCGGTCATGTCCTTGGTTGTCTGTACGGGTCATGTTGTTTGTGAGGTCAGAGCCCTGTGGTGACCTGCGTGACCTCCGAGTTGAGGTCGTCGTTGGTTACGCCGCCACAACAGCGAGAGTCCGCCGACGACCCCTCCAAGGCTAGTCATACCTGCAGAGAGGAGTTGAAGAAGAGAAAGTATCTTCATGTTATGTCGTATACAGGATATACTGTATATGCACCCTTACATGCATGTGTGTTCACAGCCAGAATGCTAAAATACAGATTTATATCACTTCCTTGTCTGTATGGTCAATTTGAATCTGCAGTCTTAGCTTAGCATATAGACTGAAAATAGCGTCGCTCTCTGTAAATGTAAAACGGTCCTCCAAAAAAATCAAAGTGTCGTTTTATGTGCCGGGCTATTCCTTAGCCAGAAGAATTGGCTTCTGTTCAGTGTCTTCGGTGCTTAATTGCTACTATAAGTCTTATTCTAAGCTAAGCTAACAGCATATTCCCTGATCAGATATGAGAGTAGTATCGATCTTCTCATTTTACCCTTTGAATTAAACAACTATGCGTATTTCTGAAACTGCCTGTAGTGGTGTATGAACACACGGACACTGTTTACCTGTTGATTGGACCTATCTCCCGTGTTTGCGCTGTTGTGGGAGCGCTGTGGGAGCTTGCGGCTGGTTAATCCGGTCCGGGACGAGTTTTGCATCTCCACCACAGAGGGACTCGGGGTGCAGAACTCACGGAAACAACGCTTGAAGTTCTCATCCAGGTAGCCGTAAAGGACTGGGTTCAGACTACTGCAGAGGACAGAAACAAGGTCACAGTTTAACAATAGAAAATACCGCTCAATTATCTCCTTTATGAAAAGTACAAGGGCACCTTAGTCATTCTATAAAACCTTGTATCATTAAAGGCACAATGCTGAATAGTCTATTCTATTTTCTCAAATCTTTTTCTTAAAGGTTACCTATTATGCAAAATCCACTTTTTCATGTCTCTTCTACATCAACATGTGTCCCCTCTGTGTAAAGAGATTCTGAAAGTTTCAGGAACAAAGACCCCCTCTCTTTTTGTCCTGATCCATTTATATAAAAACCTGTCTGAAAATGAGCTGATCAGATTTTGGCCACTTTATGATGTCATAATGATTTTTTGTCTTGTGTAACCATTAGCCAATCACCAACCAAGGTAACCAAGGTCACCTGAATCTCCTCCTAGAGCACCATTAGGCGCTTTCACACCAAGTACTTTTCCCAGGAATAGTTCCCGGAACATATTTCTCTTTAGTTCGTTTTATTTTGTGTTGCCATAAGTTAGTCTCTCTCCCTTGGTGCGCTGGGCTAATGCTAATGCGAGCAAATGAAATGGCGGCTTCACAAAAACTTTTCTGAGTTTTACGGGCGTGGTTTTGCAATTCGCCCAGCCAATCAGAAATTGGAACCTTTTCCTCCCCAGGAAAGTACCACCAAGTAGCAGGGACTGAAAAGGGGTGAAAAGGTTCCCGAAAAAAAGTTCTAGTTCGAGATCTTTTTGGTGTGAACGCAAAATCCCAGGAACTATCGGAACTATTCCTGGGAAAAGTATACTCCGGTGTGAAAGCGCCTATTGTGTTCCATTTAACCAAATATCTCTCAGAGGGGCGTGGGGAGTGGCTCCTTATTTTCATCTAAAGTCAGCACTTTTGAAACGGGGCTGAAACAGAGGGGTTTATGGGATGCTACAATGATCTGTTTTTCGAGCCAAAAACTTCAGAGACATGTTTTGTATATATCTGAGACCTATAAATAATATATTGATGAAAAACAGTAGAGTGGCCCGTCCACACAGCAGTGTTAAAAAAATCTTCCAACGCTTCTGCCCATTCACTTTGAATGGGGTGACGTCACTTTGCCTCACTTTTCGCCGAACTGCATTGTGGGAAGCAAAGTGGAGATTTCCAGGCATCTCAGGCTTCAAAAGTTGAGCAATGTTCAACTTTTGAAGCTGAGGTGGAAGCATCAGCCAATCAAATCCCGTTTATGCAAATCTGACAGTACAAGCGCTAGCCAATCAAACCGTGTGTATGCTGGGAGAGACATACCGCAGGTCATTTCCTCATATTCCAAAAAATGGAGGAGAAATTAATTATAGCGGTAGGGAATCACCCGGTGCTTTATGACCAGTCCCTATTTACCTACCGGGATACAAACCGGAGGAGCCAGGCATGGAGGGAGGTGGCAGAGACAGTGGTAGGTTTTCGCCTGTTTGGGGAGTTTATATCCAGTTTACTTCGGGCTTTTTTGCTTTGTATGTCGGGGGCAGGAGATTCATGTGATTGGTTGTTGGTCGCGTTGCTCGCTAAAAGTCCTCAAGCTTCAGATACGCCCACCTCCAAGATTTTTTTAACGCTGCTGTGTGGACGTACCGTAATAGCGGACCTTTAAGTTGAGCATCATTTATCAATCTTACTAAGGCTTTATTGATTTCCCCACTTTCTATACATTCACACAAGGACTAATAGTTGTATTATTACAGTAAATATATGTATCTAAAGCTCTTATGGGGTGCTTACCTGTTGGTGTAGCCCAAGGCAATGCAGAAATGCCAGGTGATGGACTGCAGCGTGGAGCTGGGGATGTTGATCAGAGCCTGGATGATGACAAAGATGTGGATAGGGGTCCAGCATACAATGAAGACGGCAACCACCACGAGGACCATGCGCGTGATCCGACGCAGGTTCCTGTCCTTCTCCTGTTTGTGAAGAAGGGTTTTGTGTAGAAGGGTTTTGTGTTAAGTGGTGGGGAAAAGAGGAAGGAGGACAAAGAGGAAAGTAGGAGTAAGAGGTAGTGAAGAGAATAATGAAGGAGGAAGGACAGTGAAGTGGAGGATTGGTAGAGAAGAAATGGTCAGAGAGGAATGAGAGTAGAGGTAAAGAGGAAAAAGCATGATGGAAAGAAAGAAAAGTGGTCATGAAAGTGCAATAATGGCTGAAGGGTAGAAACAAATCATATACCTCCACTTTGATATCCCATTTCCCATTTCTGTAAATACATCTTCGCTTGAATGTGCTCATGTTTTACCTCCAGCATTTGGTACATTTTCTCAAAATTACTGTTGTTGGGTCATTTCTTCTTCTACTGCAATGAATTAAAACTGCACCACAACCTCAGGCTTAAGTTGTTTTTCCCTAATTGCTTTCTCTTGAAAACATTGCGTGTACCACATTTGTATGCAAGCTTTGGGCAGCCTTGCACTTTGCTTCATTGCTCTGAATGCAAAAAACTATTTAGTTATTGTCTAAATAGCGTAGGCAATGTAGTTCGTAGACAAAAGCTCTACAATTCTCATTTGCATGTGATTAAAACATACGTGTGATACTCACAGTATGAACTTATTTTGCATCCAATGTAAAAGAAAACAGATTTGTGTTAACCTGGGAGCCCGACAGCATGCGAACACTCTTCAGCCGGAGGATCATGAGGCCGTAACAGACGGTGATGATGAGGACGGGCATGATGAAGGCAAAGATGAACACGCAGATCTTCAGCAGAGTTTCCCAATACCAGGGGGGGAGAGGGAATATCAGCTTGCAGTCGACAATGCTGGAGGCTGCGCAGGGTGAGGAGACACACACACACACACACATACATGAGCACAGTGGAATAAATCATTACTTCCACATAAGCAATTTCACAAGAGGTTACGTGTGTCAACCCTTTTTTCACTAACAAATGCGTTTTTGTACAAGTTAATAACAATATTTAGGGCTTATGATTAATTGATCAATAATTGACTCTAAAAAATGTCCTTGAATGTTGAAGGTGGCTTGTTTAATTTGCTTGTTTTTTGAGACCAATAATGAGAAACAAGATATTAAGTTAATGAAACGAAAAAGGAAGATGCATTAAATCATCATATTTTAGTGGCTGGAACCGGTTAATTTTTAATAGGAATTTGAATTATCTCTTTTTCTGAAAGTGAATATATAAACTTCATGATACCTCAACCATGAAGCAAATAATCCTTTTAAGTGTCCAAAAGTGTTGCATTTAATTCCCTATCTCTCTACCTACTTTTTCTGTCATCTCTTTAAAAAAAGGCATAAAAACACCACTGTCAGGTCTGAAAACGTTCTTTTGTGGCACTAAAAAACAACATCTTTAAGCAGCACACAGGGTTGCAACCTCACCGAGTCAGTAAATCTCTCGCCACCCTCTTTTCCCCAAACACACTTTAACTATTCCATTCGCAATTTTCATCTCCATTACCTCTGCAATTACACGGAGACACGCAGGTAGCCTCTTGTCTATGCAGACACTTCTATGGGTCTCCAGCCAGGCAAAGCATTAATTGGTTCTTTTGTGCAATTACAAAGATTCTTCTGGTTTGTCTCCTTTTATAAAGCCTGCTGCAGTATGCCTACATAATTGCTCTTTAAAGCTGGAATGCAGAAGTAAACTTAATTTGTTTTCTTCCTGTTTTGTGCCTGCTACTTTTCGAGCTCAACACATTGTTGTTGTTAGCTTCGAGGACATTTCTAGGAGAGCTTATTTTATCTATGTATTGTAGTTGTTACAAAAGGTATACAGTATGTCTACTCATGCGTCACATACTGAATGTTTAGAGGTGTTTTATGTACAATATAAACACAATTCCTCCTGCAGTGTAGGTACAATAGTTGCTTGTGTGTGTGTGTGTCATGCTTACGAGCGGCGGCAGTGGAGGCCATGAACATTACGGGCAGCCCGATGGCCGAGGAGAGGATCCAGTTGCAGACGTTGACGATCTTGGCGTTTCGCGGCGTTCTGAAGTCGAGCGCTTTGACCGGGTGGCACACAGCGACGTATCGGTCGATGCTCATGGTGGTGAGCGTGAAGATGGAGGTGAACATGTTGTAGTAGTCGATGGACATCACCATCTTGCACAGTATGTTTCCAAACGGCCAGGTGCCCATCAGGTAGTTGACGCTCTGGAAGGGTAACGTGCTGGTGACCAGGGCGTCCGCCAGAGCCAGGTTGAAGATGTAGATGTTGGTGGCGGTCTTCATTTTAGTGTATCTGCACACAAATGGTAGATTGATTATGAAACTTTGGACTAAACTGCACAGACCTGTAAAACAACTTCTACTGCTATTGCTATTACTGACGGCATCATCCTGGTTGCTTTGTGACTCTTTGTATTTGATGGTCTTTGCCATCATTCTACGTTTCTTTGTAGTGATTGTGGGGGAAAACTTCTGTGTAGCAATGCAGTGGGAGTCATCGACTCAGGAAGGAGACACGGGATAGAGCTGGAGCTTTGATGTCAAACACTGATGGTTTATTAGGAGCTTCGGCCGGAGAATTCACATCACAAGTCACGAGCCAGAGGGTCTGACTTCACGGGAGAGTTGCCACGTCAATTCTGAAGAACTCTACCCCAGACCCATGTATTTAGCTAGTTGAGAGAGAATAATCAACATTGTGCATAACAAGATAGAATCATAACACGTCTATCAGCTGACGCCAACAGGCAGGAACAGGGAGACAAAACACTGAGAGCACAGCAGCCAAGGTTACAGGTGCGTCTGCTCAGTCAGGACAGTATGAACTGATCAACTGGGTCAAAGTTATGGACCTTGGAAAATATTTCCCCAACAGTTCCTTGGAAAATATTTCCCCAACAGTGATGTTGTGTGTTTGTTGTCAGTGATTCCTAGTCTTTTTGAAGTCTTCAATCTTTGAAGTCATTTTGTGTGTCTCCGTACACATTTCTCTGAGTAGTCATTTGAGTCTTTTTGTAGTCATTTTGTGTTGGGGTTGTATTTTTATTTATATATATACTCTCAGTCATCATTTTGAGTCTCTTTGCAGTCATTTTGTGAGTCTTTATGTTTCTCCGTAGTTGTTTTTCTACTCTTTGCAGTCGTCTCTTTGTCATCATTTTCATCTTAGAAGTGAGTAACCTTCAATCTCTTAGTCGTGTAGGTTCTCTTTGTACCAATATCTTAAAAGTAGTCATTGAGTATTTTCGTATAAATTCAGTCTCCTTTGCTCATCTTGTGTGTCTTTGCAAATGTATTGTGAATATCCTCTTAGTTTCTGTGTTCAAGACATCCTTTCTTTTAATGAAGCTCTTTCACATTTTTAACAGGAACAGTCACTTCACATAAATGCTCTGGCTCCCTTAGGGCTGATGGACCATTCAATGATGAACTCATGACAGAAAATCAGTAAGATGTACAAAAGACTTGGTTCAGTTTGAGTGAAAGCATTGGCAAACCATCATGTGTGTCTCCTTGCCGCATAATGGGATTTTGATATTGTTGCTGACTCTGAACATTTTTGAGACTAATTGAAACATCAATTGAGAAATGTCTCCTCCTTCCTCAACAAACAAAACATTAAATGATCTCCAAGTGAATTATCGACAGGGCTGCTGCAACATCTATATTGAAACAACAGAATCATTAAATTGTGAGTGTTACTATTGATATATATGTTACGGCACAGATCTCCTTCAGTTGATTTACCCTAAACAAAAATATGTAAATTAATCATCTTATTTGTAAACACAAGTAGAACTTAATTTAATGAAAAAAAGCACTTCTGGAAATAATAAAATAAAAATGTACTCTTCATAAACACACTGTAAATAAAGGAGATGGCACTACAAGGACACAAGTAAAGTGCCAAGAAATGTTCAGTTTGTTTCTGGACAGCTAAAGCTTCAATCATTGAACGCCTGACTTTTGAGCACCATTTGCAGGATTTGAATACACAGCCAAAATTACACTTAAAGGTGGGGTAGGTCATTTTGGAGAAACCGGCTCGAGTGCGCTAGAATTTGAAAATACACAACCGGAAAAAATCTGCCTCTTCCTTCAGACTTCCTTACAGAGCCCCTCCTCCAACACACACGAACGCGCACATGACCAATGAGGGCACGAGATAAGTTTGTGCACAGATGGAAGGCTGACAGGCAGGTAGGCCATCCAGTTATTTTAGCCGGGCCGGCTAAAATGATTGGTTGTGCTTTTTAAAGCGCTACGGCTTCCACAGATGACATTTTTTTAATGTATTTATTGTCAAAGCATTTAATTTATTCATTGCTATCGGGATGTTAAGAGCATTCCATGGAATATAACAAAAAGTGTCTCTAAAATAAATTACATACCCCACCTTTAAGCTTTATTTATTTATATAGTGCCTTTTGTGCAAATGTACAAGGTGCTTGACAATACAATGTAACAGTACAGTGAACACAACCCATCAAAACGGGTGGATAACAGAATATATTTCAGTGGATTAAGATAAAAATAAAGTCAAGGTTAACAAAATGAACAGATTTGATTGATTGATACATTTATTTCGAACAAGTAAAATAAATAATTACAAAACAAAACAAATGTTGCAGTGCATAGTCATGTAAGAGAAATCAAAACAAAAAAATGACATTTACAACTACAACAACAGCATTAGCAACATAAACAGTGCCACATCTAGTGTTCGAAAAGGAGTGAGAAGAAGTATAATTTATTTAATCTCACCCCCTTGTCCCTAAATGATTTATTTATAATCTGCAATAATTATCATTATTATGCATTATTATTGTTATTATTATTAATCTGCTTTACCTGTTGATTGACATATACACATATACATACATACACTGATATACATATATGCACACATACATATACACACCTACATACTCACACATATACACATACACATAGTCAAACACCTTCCCTCCAAACGTTATGATTTGTGCCGTTTGGAATTCTACCAGGTCTGTGAATGTTAACAATTTTGACTGCAGGAATAATTCATTAGTGTGATCAAGATATTTGGCATTGTGAATGATTCGTATGGGGTCAACAGATTGTGATGACCTCTGCATTTATGGGAGGCTGTTCTGAGAGGAGGATCAGAGGCACTAAGTGCTGCCCCCCCCCCCCCCCCCCCCCCCCCCCCCCCCCCCCCCCAATGTCCAAAGTCATTTAACTCATAATCATTTAACGCTAGTGTCAGAAGACCAGAGGGATTTAAGAGGACCATTTATTTGGAGCATGGCCGACAAGTATTCGATGGCCTATGTATGTCAGCAGGAGGTGCCTTTTTGGAGCTTGACAGAGTATTCTGGGATGTTTTGTGAATAATTCAGACCCCATGCATCAGCTACCAACTCATTTTAGGATAGAAAACATTTGGACTACAGGAGCCCCACAGTCCTTGAAATCTGAAAAGATATCTCAAAGAAATAACTTCCCTTAGGGCTTTCCAGAGCATACTGTGCATAATGTCTTAAAAGCTTGAGTTTAGATAAATGAATGAAGAGGTTAATATTGACTGAAAGAACAAACCTGTCCCTCCTCTACTTATCCTACTCTAAAACCTGCAGTCGCTTTTACTTTCTATCTTAATGAAGGGGTGATCAAAAGGTCTCAGGGACAGTCTCTTTATATAGTATATCACTATATGGACATCATTATGGTCAACATTGTGCAGAGAAAAGAGGTTGTTCAAAGAGGGCAGAGGATGCTGTGGTGTTTATATGAAACAGGAGAACGAGCGTACAGCCATTAGCGCTAAGGATGGAAGACAGACAATGGAAAGGCTCTTCTGTTTATGTCTCTGGTAACAAAGGGATATATGTTATTGTTGGCTGTCCACATAGCAATCACACGTGGGTGGAGCTGGATAACGTCAAAAAAGGTCTAAAAGCATCTTGCACATCAAAACCTGTCGATTAAACTAAATGTGTAATAAATATTCAAATGTTTTCTCAGATAAACAAATGGCATGCAAAGTCATGAATATGTATTGATGCTGTTTCTCTCAGCACAGAGACAGGCTTTTACTTACAGTAGAATTGATTTTATTTTTGGTTTGTGAAGCACTTTGTGTTACCTTTTGTGTATAAAAAGTGATATACAAATCAAGTTTAATTTATTTAATGGATTGAAAGGTTTAGCTTGCAGTTCGACACCACATCTGAATATTTTAGGAGTCTTAAGTGCAGTATGAGATTGAAATCAAGCTGCTTTTCATTTCTCATAACGTTAAATGTGAGAGTGATTTCTATGCTGGGTGTCCCCAGTGAGGTCAGTCTGCCTGCGAGCTATCATAGAGCTCCACAGACGACTAAGACAAAATGTTCTTGTGAAACATGTACATGTTGAAAAAGGTTTTTAAATGTAATTTCCAAGGCTCAACAGTAATCATACCTCGTAATCCAATGCCATTCGAAACTGCCATGATGTTATTGAGTTAATCTGCACACACAAAGTGACAATGATACAGTACACCCTTTGGCCTTGGTTTATTAAGCCCTAACTGTCCCTCTATCTCGAGGTAGTTCACTCCTGATCTGTTGCAGCCCTCGCTTCAATAATCCTAAATCCTCTTAACAACCAGAGATGACAGTGAGTTCATTAAATTCTGATTAACTTTAACACAGACAGCTTAGTGTGTTTGTTATTTCAGGCTTTATTTGAGCGGGGACCGATGAGACACCTGGAGATACAGTAAGAGCTGTCGCCCTGCACTGAGCTGTGTGCTGCTGGTGTTTTCCAACATCTCCTTATTGACTTTGAGGCTGTCGTTAACATGGCTGCTTGTGTTTCTCCTGTGTGTTGTATGTCTGAGGCTTACTGTGTACGTCCACATCCTGAAATTAACTAAATGAGGTGTTGTATTAATGAGTTTTCATCTTTTATTTCATTCCTCGCCCTTGAGGTTTTGTCACACTGATTGCCACATTATTGTCAGCATGCTTTGATTATATAATACATTTCTTGCACTCTTTATTACTCTACATTTCTGAAACCTGATGTATATCCAAAAATCAATAAGTATAAATGTACAGAAGAATTCACAATTTACTTCCTAAACATATTCTTGTTGGCATATCATGTTATTATAGGTCATTTTTCCAGCATTACACTATTGTGGGCAATGAAGACTCTAAAAAATATTGTATTCATTAACCGTACCAACACTGGTAGAAGTTGCTGTGCCAGGTATAAAACGTGGTGCATGTGGTGACCCACCATTTCACACTGAGAATATAAAGA